GCGGTGGTTCCCATCGAAGATGGAGAATCGACCAAAAACTTTACACCGATACAAACAACCTGGCTCTCGGAAAAACCAGCTTTGCTTTGGCTGAGGATTGACTGGGGATTTATCTTGAAGGGGGCTGGGACATGTCGCCCGGTATGTGCGCCATTGTGCACCTGTCTGGAGTCTTCCGTTTTGAGTTCCGGTTGTTCATCAGGGTGTTCTTACGGCTCAGGTTTGTTTCAAGGACTTCCGGCTAGGGTGGATTTCGGGCTTGGGTCCTTGGGGTATCAGCAAAGCACACGGCGGCGAAACCAAAGGAGTCAGATGCGAAACTTGGAATTTCCTTCACTTTTGAACCGGTACGGTTGATGATGTAAATCCTGCATTACCCATAATAAGGAGTATACCATAATTCCCATAGTTTAGGGTCCTTAAGGTAATGCAGGATTTATATCATCAACCGTAGCATCTGCTTGCACACTCGACTCCTCGACTGTATCGAAGGCCAGTGCAAACCTGAAGCCCCAATCCCACAACCCCAACCCTGTTCCTCCTGCCAGCCTTGAAGCAATATGGGAGTTTCCGAAAATTTAGGGTACTTGGTTCTTATAATAAGGGTCCTACTATTTAGGATACTGCATTAGGGTCCCCTACTTTCGGAAACACCCATATTTCCTGGAACCCTACAGTAAAGCCCAGGACCCGATAACACTGGACTGCACAGTCGGCTCAAGCGCGGGTGCCGGCCCAAGTTAGAAAATGCCAGCTTGACGTCAGCATGAAACCCGAAACTCGAAACCATGAGTTCATGCATCTAGGATTCATAGTTCTAGAGTTTAGGGCTCAGGGTCCAAGAAGCCGTTTCAAGAGTTGAAGCCCGGGTTTCGTTTTCGGACCCATAAAGTCGTACAATTGCAGCTCCAACCGCCTACAAGCCCACGATATATTTGTTAAACCCTAAATCGACGTGGTCATCTGGGCCCGCCATGGGCTGCAGCTGTTGCCACTTCGGCCCGCCCCCGTGCTGAAGGACACCTTGTAGTAGTGGGCGGTGGCTCTTGGTGTTGGATTTGGGGTTAAGGGGCTTTAATGGGTCTGCAGGCCCTTCAGGGTTTGGGTGAAGGGTTTCGAGGTCGAGAGTTTGGGCATTGGAGATCAGTGCTTGTGCCTTGAATCCTCCCAAGCGTGTCACGGTTTGAAGCATAAAAAGACCCGAGGAACTTCACGTATGGTTCAGGGATCCCGCTCCTTCCGTTTACCTGAAACCAAGCCTCCGAAGCCGACGTGCCCCTCCAAACTCTATCGACCCTAAACGCCTTTGAGGCAGCACCCGCACCCCGAAGCCCCCAAAACATTAAATTCCCACAACGCTCCTAGCCTCTACGAGAAGCCTAAATCCTCAGGTCAAAACCCTCCTAAATCTGAGCTGGCAATTCCTAATGGCCTGGACTTGTCAAACCGCAAGTTCTCGAGTTACTGGTAAGACTTTGTTAAGTTCACATTCCCGAGGAGCCGATGACGGTGCCCGAAAGCATCGAAGAAGTCAACAAGAGCGAATCCTGTCTGTGGGTCGGTCCAATTGTTGTTCCAAAAAAAATGTCCATAAGCTTCCTTTGAGGGTTCAAAAACGGTGTTTACAAGGCTTTGCGTATTGTGGGGACCAGGGGGTTTGGGTTGTAGGGTTTGAAACTGATTCAGTCTTTGTTTGGTTTGGGCTTATAAGTTCCTTGTTAGTTTAGTGGTTGGTTCAAAGCGATTTGCTCCTCGGAACTAGCTTCGGATCCCCAGTAGCTTCTCGGCTGATGGTAGCCCGAAGGCAGGCTGCATAGTTTCCATGTTCATGAACTGTAGAGTACCCTATGCGAGCTACGATTGCAGGCTGACGCTGAGTGACAGAAGCTCTAAGAATGTCGCAAGCCCTGCTGAACCCTAAATCCGATACCCGAGACTTGTTTAGGGTTCAGGGCCCGGATCTGGAACCTAAAGCCCTGATCTAGACCCTAAACACATGCGCTGCAGGCCGAAGGCCAACCTTAAACTCAAGACACGAGTGCCTCCCTAGTCGAAGATGCCAACCTCGAAGACGCGAATCCGACAATCAAGAAATGACTATTTTTTTTGCCCTGTGAGGGTTCAGGGTTTGGGGGTTCGATGGTCGTAAGGTTTTGCAATTTGCGGTTTTTGAATTGTCTGATTGGGGTTTTGGGTTTGGCGACCTTGGGCAATCCTGTAGAAATCGGGCAGCGCTCGGTCCCCGAGCGCTTGCGTCCTGTGAGTTCTCGGCTTGGCCGAGTGTAGCGATCTGGCTATGCCTTAGCAAAAGCCAAGCCCTGTGCTTCATCAGACACTCGCTTTTCCATTGGTCTCGCCCGAAGGCCTTTAGGAACGCGCATGCGTGTCGCAGCCATTCCCCAGGCTATGGCGGGTTTCGGGGCCGCTGTGGACGACCCCAGGAGGTTAGCCGGCGAGCATCATGAGCACTCGGGCGCCCGCAACCGGCCCTGTGGCGCGAGGCGATGTTTTGCCAATTTTTGAGTGGGTTGCGGAAGCCCCCAAAGGGCGCGCATCATCAGCATCAGCGGGGTTCGGCGGAGGACAGGCTTCTACCTGCGCTGCCTGCCCGTGGGCGCAGCCTAGAATTGTAGTCCCGCTCAAAAGTCAGGACCCTCCAAGTACAACGGCTATGCTTTTGACACCTAACACCAGGAAAAGCGTCTGAATGAAGCCCACCAAGGATTGGATCTATTCGCACGTCTATCCTGATGCCAGAAGACCAGGCGATTGGATTCGTTTCTTTGAGCAGCTCGTTGGGGTTCGACATCTTTCCCCACAAGATGCTTGAGCTAAACGTCAGGCCCTGTGCCGAACCTCCGCGTGGTGAACCAAACAAAACGTAGTAGATCTTGAACCTTGCAAGCCCCAAGAATCCGGGAACCCTCCAATCCCGAGCCTTAAACAAATCGTTCCCGAAGCCCATAGTATAAGAGAAAGTTGGAACATCCCTATCCCAAAATGCCCTTGAGGCAAAGTCAAGGGAATCCCAGCACTGTTCATCCGTAGCCCATGTTCCAACTTTCTGGGTTTCACTGTAAGCCTACCTGCCCAACTGACCAGGCGTAGTGGTGACGGAGCGTTTGGTCCTCCGAACAAACGGCCTCTGCAGGTGCCTCCTGGATTTCAGGGCTTTTGAACCCGAGCCCTCAGACCTCAAAAGACATGGGGGGTTCCGAAAATTTGGGGGTAGCTTATTTTGGGGTAACTATTACAGCATCCTATTATTTAGGTCACCATATTAGGGTCCGCCATTCTGGGAAACTCTCACATCGTTAGATCGCTATAGTGTTCTGTTGGTCTCTGTTTTTGACGACATGTCCCAACAACCGCTTACACCCTCAGAAGGAAGTCTCCTTACTAAAACACCAAGACCAAATTCCGGGCCCATAGCGGGCTTGAATATGAAGGAGATACCGGGGAAACCCCTTGTGTGAAGCGTCTATAGAAAAGCTATAGTTGCTTTGTCACACCGGCTTACAGACCTATGAATCCAGTGTCAAACCCATGAAGAGCACGATGAAGCCCCTAAAACCCTTGTATATAAACCCATCACAATTCACATGTTCATTAGTTTATAGTGTTTTAGTGTTGTTTTAGCCTTTAAACGTGTCGTGCATTTTTTTGTTGTTGTGGTGTGTGTGTGTGTGTGTGTGTTAGTGTTAGGGGTTAGCGTGTTTGGGTTTTAGGGTGTAGGGAGGTTGGGTTGAGGATTTAAGGCGGATGTTTTGAAGCTGCCTGCTCAACCCTCGAAGACCTTGTAGGATCCTTACTCAAGGGAGGTGGGTCAAAAGGCGAGGGTGAGATACTTCCCGAGAAGGAAAAGGATTACTGGGTTGTAACACTTTATCCCCTGCATGTAAGGATCTCGTGATAGCAAAGTCGCCCCGCAGAGCAACCCCACTCATAAAACCACATGCGACTTGAAGTAACAAGCCCTAAAAGCCTTGAATTCTACCGCCCGAAGCTGCTAACCCTGAAGTAGAAGCCAGATTCTTGGAACAACCATGGGGTTGAGGGCTTTGGGGTTTTGGGTTTTGGGCGTGAGGGCGTAGGGTAAAGTATAGGGGCTCTCAGCACCCGTCATCTTGAATCCGTGTTCCAAGCTTCTGGAGTCTACTGTAAAGCCTTACGCCTCGAACCCTAGCACGTAAACCCTGAAGCCCTGTATAAATCCCACAGCAGCCTTACTCATAGAATCGCTATCTGAACCCTAGAGAAGCCTTATTTGCGTCAGATTTTCGGATACAAGAAGCTTTAATGGCTGTAACACCTTCATGAAAAACCCTTATAAGAGCTCTCCCGAAACTATTGTATAGGATCCTTTATATAACCCCAAGAGAGCTTTGTATGGCTCCTTATAGAGCCCTTAGAGAAGCCTTGTAGAGACCTTAACAAGAAGCCTTATGGAGCCCTGAACACTAAACCCTGACCTAAACTACAAAAAACCCCTAAACCCTACGCTACAAACCCTAACCCTAAGCCTAAACTACCAAAAAGATTCTAAACCCTAAGCCCTAAACTATAAAACAAAACCCTAACCCCTAAACCTTAACCTTAAACTACAAAACGAACTGTACATCATCCCAAGCCCCAAACTACAAACCCTAAACTACAAACCCTGAACCCTAGCCCTAAACTACAAAAAGAATTCTAAGCCTTAAGCTGCATGAGTCCAGGTGGAGTCGCTTCTTAGACACCTTCGACTCGAAGGGCGTGCGCGCGCAGGCCACCTGGGCTTTTCCGGAAGGGCTTGGGAGGATTTAGGCTTTATAGGGGTTTAGGGTCTAGGAGGGTCTAGGGTTTAGGGGTTTAGGGTCTAGGGGTTGAGGGATTCAGGGGTTTAGGGTCTAAGGTTCAGCGTCTAGCCCAAACCCTAGACTCTAGGGTTGAGACTGGAGACACGACCTTGTTTACTAGAAGCGAGGGCTGAATCTTTCGGTGAAGTTTTCAGCTGCTCAATGGGTCCCCCGGGAGTTGAGTGGCTTTGGTTTCTTCTTGAAGGAGCTAGGTCGAACCTTTGGGGATACAGGTGTCCAGTGTACTGCGTGCAACCGGACCTGCCACTTATCCTCCTTACCTTCCTCCTCGGCGCCCTCTCCGGTGCCACCTTGGTTTTCTGGATTTCCAGGCCCTCCTTCTTCGCTCCTCCTGCTCCGCAGCGCCCAAGGGGACCTGCCACTCAATCCTCTAGCAGCCGCCTCGCTTTGTATGGGCAGCGAGGGTGATACTGATATCACTCAGATTTCTTTGCAACTTCAAGGGCTCTCCATCTCCATTACCCGGAGCCGAGCCCCTGCAACTGCCCCGACCCTAAGTCCCGAACCCTCGCCTTCCGAGCCTGGAGTCGGCTCGACGCCCTACCCTAAGTCCGGCCCCCTAGGCCCCGAACCCGTGTGCGAAGAGGCGGCGTCAGCTTCCTCTCGCCCTGCTTCTTCCTCCTCCGTTCCTCCTCAGACCTCGGCCTCTCTTCCTCTTTCTGAGACAGAAGCCGGCTTTCCTGAGGTCCCGGCTGCCTGGCTGCTGGCCTCCAAGGCCCTTCGTGCGTCCGGAGCCTCCGGAAGTGAGCGTGTCAAGCGGGCTTGGGTTGCTGGTCTTTGGGTTAGGGAGGTTCTGGAGGGTAGGGCCCGGGTTCCCGCACCGACCCCCCGCCTTAGTATCCCTAATCGGTTTTACGCTGTCGCCCGGTCTGCCAACGGATCTCCCCCTGAGATCTACAACAGCAAGCGGGACTACTTTATCGCTGTCGACCATCTGAGGCAGAGGACCACCCTGTCCCAGGCCTTCCCCTCTGAGCTCGAGTGCCGCGTCTACCTCGACGCCGCAGGCATTCGCACTTTCTTGCCGGGTCCTTGACCCAATGGAGCTGGACGCCATCGCTCCCGCCGAGGCTGGTGCCGTTGACATCTTGGTGCTTGACCCCTCGGGCGACCCTGCCCTGGAGGAATGCCTCTCTTCGCCTTGTGTATGCTACTGTGTGCTCAAACGACCGGGCGGCTGTCTGTTAGCTGTTCCTCCTGCCTCCGTCCTGGAGCCTACCTTGGTAGCGGCGGAAGAAGCAGGCCACACGGGTCTGGTCGGGCCCTCTTTGGCCTTGACCTGGCGATTTCCCTTACAGATGCCGGGGAGTGGGCAGCCGTCTACCCCCCCCAGGCAGGTGGCAGTGAGAGTCATCGACTTCGACGCCGCTGTGTGAGCACCGACAGGTCCGATTATTACCACCAAATCTGGACCACCAGTGCGAGAGCCGGCTCCAACTGTATTGGGCCCCCTCTGCGCCTATCCTCTCTTCAGGCCACCCGTGCTCACCGCGAGTTCCTTGCCGAGACCATCGCCTGCTTGGGTTCTGATAGGAATAGTCGCTTAGGGCGTGTTGGCGACCGGGCCGCCACCTTCCGAGGAGACGACCCCCTGGTATGCGGCTCCTTTCGTGCCATACTCCAGGGCGACCACGGGGGGGGGTCGAGTACGCCACGGCTGCTCACGAGGCCCTCCTTTGTGACGTCGGCCTCCTCCCAGGCAAAACTGCAGTGCCCTTGGGTAGGGAGAGGGCTGTGGTGGTCTTGGGTAAGGAAGCTCTCTGGAGAAGGCTGTGGTGCCCTTGGGTGAGGAAGCCCAGAAATGGCTGTGGTGCCCTTGGGCCCAGAGAGGGCTGTGGTGCCCTTGGGTAATGGGTAAGGAAGAAGCCTAGAGAGGGCTGTGGTGCCCTTGGGTAAGTGCCCCCCGAGAGAACGCACTCATAGACCTGGCTGGCTAGGAGCCCCGAAGCACCTCCCAAGGCCAAAGGGCCCTCAACACGCAAGGGCGCGAGATTAGGTCTTCTCGTGGGTGCAAGTGAAGCCAGAAATAGAGTGAAAGGCAGCCCAGAGAGGGCTGTGGTGCCCTTGGGCCCAGAGAGGGCTGTGGTGCCCTTGGGTACGGAAGCCCAGAGAGGGCTGTGGTGCCCTTCAGTAAGGAAGCCCAGAGAGGGCTGTGGTGCCCTTGGACCCAGAGAGGGCTGTGGTGCCCTTAGGTAAGGAAGCCCAGAGAGGGCCGCTTGGGTAAGAAAGCCCAGAGAAAGCTATGGTGGCCTTGGGCCCAGAGAGGGCTGTGGTGCCCTTGGGTAAGCAAGAGAGGGCCGTGGTGCCCTTGGGAAAAGAGAGGGTTGTGGTGCCCTTGGGTGAGGAAGCCCAGAGAGGGCTGTGGTGCCCTTGGGCCCAGAAAGGATTGTGGTGCCCTTGGGTAAAGAAGCCCAGAGAGGGCTGCTTGGGTAAGGAAGCCCAGAGAGGGCTGTGGTGCCCTTGAGCCAAGAGAGGGCTGTGGTGCCCTTGGGTAGAAAGCCCAGAGAAGGCTGTAGTGCCCTTGGGGCCAGAGAGGGCTGTGGTGCCCTTGAGTAAGGAAGACCAGAGAGGGCCGAGGGGGCTGTGGTGCTCTTGGGTAAGGAAGCCCAGAGAGGGCTGTGGTGCCCTTGGACCCAGAGAAGGCTGTGGTGCTCTTGGGTAAGGAAGCCCAGAGAAGGCTGTGCTGCCCTTGGACCCAGAGAGGGCTGTGGTGCTCTTGGGTAAGGAAGCCCGGAGAGGGCTGTGGTGCCCTTGGGCCCAAAGAGGGCTGTGGTGCCCTTGGGTAAAGAAGCCCAGAGAGGGCTGCTTGGGTAAGGAAGCCCGGAGAGGGCTGTGGTGCCCTTGGGCCCAAAGAGGGCTGTGTTGGGTAAGAAGCCCAGAGAGGGCTGTGGTGCCCTTGGGCCCAGAAAGGGCTGTGGTGCCCTTGGGTAAAGAAGCCCAGAGAGGGCTGCTTCGGAAGGAAGCCCAGAAAGGGCTGTGGTGCCCTGAAGCCCAGAGAGGGCTGTGGTGCCCTTGGGCAAAGCGGCCCAGAGAGGGCTGTGCCGTTTGGCCCAAAGAGGGCCAGGGCTGCCCATGCATAAGGAAGCCCAGAAAAAGCTGGGTTGCCCTTGGACCCAGAGAGGGCTGTGGTGCCCTTGGGTAAGGAAACCCAGGCAAAACTGCAGTGCCCTTGGGTAGGGAGAGGGCTGTGGTGGTCTTGGGTAAGGAAGCTCTCTGGAGAGGGCTGTGGTGCCCTTGGGTGAGGAAGCCCAGAAATGGCTGTGGTGCCCTTGGGCCCAGAGAGGGCTGTGGTGCCCTTGGGTAATGGGTAAGGAAGAAGCCCAGAGAGGGCTGTGGTGCCCTTGGGTAAGTGCCCCCCGAGAGAACGCACTCATAGACCTGGCTGGCTAGGAGCCCCGAAGCACCTCCCAAGGCCAAAGGGCCCTCAACACGCAAGGGCGCGAGATTAGGTCTTCTCGTGGGTGCAAGTGAAGTGGCTCAGCACCCGCCTCCTCTCGGCGACTGTGCCGAGGCCTTGGTCATTGACGACTACTTCGCTGTAAGTCGACCTTCTTGGCGAGAGGCTCCGTGAAAGCCCTGCTTCTCGTTGCATTGCCCGAGCGAAGCTGGCCTATGAGCGAGCAGGGCTAGCTGGTTCCGACCATAAGGATAACTGGGGTTCCCTCCTCTTCACCGTTGCCGGGGCCGAGGTGAACTCCGAGATTCCTCTCGTTGACCAGGGAGCCATCCTAGTTGGGGCTCCTCTCCAACGTCGGCTTGCGCTCTCCTATGTGACGTTGAAGGCTGCCACCTACCCCGTCACCTCCGAGGATCTGATGTCCTCCTTGCTTGGCGGCTGGGTCTCATTCATCCAGTTTCGGAGGCCCTTTGCGTGCTTCCTCGACTCAGCCTTTTTAGGCTTGCTGCCAAGGAGCCGGCTTCTACAGACAGCCCTGCCAGAACCCTGCCTAGGCGAGCCGCCGACGAACTAAGTACCCTTGCGGCCTGCGCCCCCCTTCTTGCGAGCAACATTGCGGTGCCTTACGACGACACTGTCTACTGTGCCGACGCCTCGCTTAAGAAGGGCGCTTTCTGCCGAGCAAAGGTTAGGGGTGAGGTTTCCGAGGCGCTCTGGCACGCCGGAGCAAAGAAGGGCTACTACACCCGGCTCTCGCACAGCCGCCGTGGCCCCCTGCACGGCACTGAAGGTCACCTGGACGAGTGTGCCCAGGATGGTGCCCGGCGTCCCGACGTCCACCCCGACCTGACTATGCAGAGGCCCCTCGGTCTTGACTACGACTTCATTGAGGTGCTTTCGCCTTCGGGCCTCCTTTCCTCCGAGGTATCAGGCATCGGGCTCAGAGCCGGCCCCTGGGTGTCCTTTGCAAACAGCCGCGAGCTCGACCTCCTCGAGCCCCGTGTCGCAGAGTGGTTGGTCTACCTGATCTCAAACCGCAGGCTGCGCAGCGTCTTTATCCACCTGCCCGGTGGCTCGCTGAGCCGGGCCGCCAAGCCCCGTGTGAGAAGCCGGCTCTGTCCTTTCGGCTTTGCTCCCCGGCCCCCTAGAGTCAAGACTGAAAACCGTCTCTTAGGGCGCGCTTTCATGCTACTGGAGCTTTGCAGAAAGCTCGGCGTCCCGTGTGTGATGCGGTGTTCCTCCTGCTCTTTGGTGCTGGACCTGCCTTGGACTAAGGCCTTCCTGGGGCGACCCGGTGCCCGGCTCTTCGCTTCCTCGCGGGCTCTTCTGGGCCATCCCTTCTTTCCAGGTGCCTCCTTCCTCGGTGCTCACACTTGTGGGGCTCCTGCCGCCGTTTCGGGCCGTCCCGACTTTGCGAAACTCCCTGCCGGCCGTGCCCTCGCTCTTGCCTTCCGTGCTTGGCTCGAGGATTCTGTGCTGCAGGCCACCACTGTCGACCCACAGCCAGGCTTGGAATCCGTTATCGTCGATGACGTCCTTCTTACGGAAAAATGGGAGGTCGGGGCCGCCTGGACTTGGGACGCCCGCAGACACATCAACGTGCACGAGAGTGACTCTGCCCTCTGCGTGTATAAGGACGCCACCCTCAGGGGCGGAGACAGGAGATCCTCTTTCATCTCCGACTCCTTTGTTGTTGTCGGCTCCCACCAAAAGGGAAGATCGTCTGCTCGGCTTCTCCGCGCCCCCCTCAAGAAAGTCGGCTCTACTATTCTTGCGGGGGGCCTGTACATGAGCACTCTGTACGGCCCCACGAGGTGGAATCCCTCCGACGATCCGACGCGTGATGCCCCTCTGAGAGCACCCGCTGGTCTTTCGCTTTGTGCCGGGCTCTCTCGCGAGGACCTCCGGTCCCTCAGCAGCTTGGGCCATCTTTCGCGCCCTCGCGCGGGTTGGGCTAGACTTGCCCTCCTCCTCTACACCGTGGCTTTCGACTCGCCAACAAAACTTGTCGACGCCCTCCGGGCTTTCCCTTCGGGCTCGAGGTTTGCGGCCCTCGCCGAAGTTTCTCCTTACACGCCGCTCTGCCACCGGGAATTTGACTCCTCTTTGGGATTCCCTGGTGAAGGCCCTCCTTTCCGTGCCTGGGCTTTTCTCCTCATTACCTTCTCAGGCGCCCTTGGGATGCTTACCCCTCGGAACGCCGATGACCTTCGTCGCCTCGACCGCCGCCTCAATCCTCTTCCCTCTGGCCGTCCGGTGCAAGCAGTCACTTCTTCTAGGAGGGCTCTTTTGGTTTCAGGGTTTTCGCAATGGCTCCTCGAGGTCACCGGCGCTCCCCTCGCAACTCTGCTCGAGAGGAAACCCTTCGACACCGAGACCTTCGTCGACTTACTTGTCGCTTTTGGGAGGGACCTTTATAACAGCGGCCGGCCTTACTGGCACTTTTCTGAGACGATCAACGCGCTGACTGCTGCAAAGCCGTGCATCCGGAGGTCTTGCCAAGCAGCGTGGGATCTGGCTTTTACCTGGCTATCAGAAGAACCATCCTCCCACCACATTGCGATGCCGCCTCTGGTGCTGATGGCGATTATTGCGACCTGCCTAGCCTGGGGCTGGGTAAGAGAAGCTGGCATTTTCGCTTTGGCTTGGGGTGCCCTCCTGAGAATCTCTGAGGCTACGTGCGCCACCAGGGGAAACCTTGTTTTCCCCCGCGACGCCCTCAACATGCAGTCTTTTATTCTGGTCAGGATCGATCAACCGAAGACCCGCGGCCGTGCCGCGAAGCATCAGGCTGCGAAGCTGGAACAAAGCGACCTGGTGGCCGTTGCATCTTTAGCTTTTTTGGGCCTGCCTAAGCACGCCAAACTCTGGCCTTTTGCGAACCAGACACTGAGACGACGCCTTGACAGTATTCTGGAAAGGCTGGAGATACCTAAATCGGGGGAGCAGGGTCGCTCCCTCGATTTAGGCTCCCTTCGTCCCGGAGGAGCGACTCACCTCCTTCAACTTACCGAAGATTCTGAGCTGGTTCGCAGGCGCGGGCGTTGGGCTTCTCATAAGGTTATGGAGATATATCTGCAAGAAGTGGCTGCCTCGACCTTTGTCGCCGACCTCTCCGACAAGGCCCGTGAGAACGTTTACCAACTGGCGCAGCACTTCCCACGCATGCTCAACCAGGCACAGGTTTGGGCAAACAGCAATATACCCAGCAGATGCTGGTACTACCTTTGGCCATAGGCTTCTACCGCGTGCCGGGCAGATCTGGGAAGGTTGGGGTCGATGTTTTTCCGATCCTCTTTTCTGATTGCTGCATATGCAGCGGCTGGCACGCGGAAGACTTCAGGCGGTGGAAGAAAAGTGATGCTCGAGCTTCTGTACTCTAGAAGCGAGGGCTGAATCTTTCGGTGAAGTTTTCAGCTGCTCCCACCCGCCCGCCCTGGCGCAAAGAGGGGTCGATGTTTTTCCGATCCTCTTTTCTGATTGCTGCATATGCAGCGGCTGGCACGCGGAAGACTTCAGGCGGTGGAAGAAAAGTGATGCTCGAGCTTCTGTTTAGGACTTAGGGTTTAAGGTTTAGGGACCCAGAGAACTAGGAGGGTTTGGTGGTTCAATTTCACGTGTACAGGGTGCTTTTTGAGGATTGAAGGTTTAGGGTTTAGGAGGATTTGGGGTGCAGAGGTCTACGCTGAGTGTACGTCTACGGCTTAAGATTCTAATCTTAGGGCGCGCAATTCTCGAACCCCCGGCCTAGTTCCTACAGAGACTCAGAGACCTATTCAAGAAAACGCGAGGAACAAGGAACCCCAACATCCTTCGGCCTTGGCATCTCATAGAGCTCTCTGCAAGTCACGTAAAGCCTTAGCTTCACCACTGTCGGCCCTTGCATCTTTCTGTTCTTCGGAATCGCCGGACAGGGCGAGTTCTGGCCGCGCGAGAGCGTGAAGACGGTGCGTAGCTGGGCCTTCCTTGGCAGAGCCTTTGGGGTGTTACCCTAAACCGCTACATAGCATCTCAGCCTTAGGGTTCAGGGTTTTAGGACAGCTAGGGCTCGCACGCTTTATGGAAGGGTTTGCAAAGTTGTACAAAGCTTCCAGGGCTTCTGCAGGAATGTTTCATGAAGTGTGATTGGCAGAGATTTTCACTTTCTTGGGCCCTAAACTTACGACCCAAAACCCTGAGCAGAGCTCTCAATTGAGTTAGTTGTGGAGCCCCTCGACCCGGAACGGTCAGCCCAGATCTTCAACAGCCGGTTTGGTTGCTTGATCGGCATCACGAGCGGACCTCCTAAGATGAACTGAGGACATGTTTTTCCTTTAGGCAGATTAAGGAAGCCCGAAGATTTCCAGCAAAATAGTGTTCTCCACAGGATACCTGATTGGAAGTATGTTCTTAGATAATTGCCGATACTGTTTTGGGGCCTCCTAGTGTAAACATAACAAAATCTGGATCAGAACCCTCTTCTAATTATTAAGGCTTTTTTTGATTGAAGCCTTGATGGAAGCCTTCAATTTAGGGTTTTGGGTGTTAGGGTTTAGGGTGTAGGGTTTAGGGTTCAGGGTGTAGGGTCTGGGTTCCCAAGCAAAGCCCAAGGAAGATGAAGACGACGGCACATTGACCGAACCCTAAACCCCAAGTCTAAGAACCGCGAACCCAAGGCCCACAACTCACCAAGTCTTAAATCCGAGACACCAGACCCATATTTCCCCGAATCCGGCATCCTAAACCTCGAACCCATAATTCAGAGCCCTTCGGGGGCTCCTTCAAGGGTTCCTGCAAGGCCTCAACCTTAAGCCCTGAACCCCAAAGCCTAAACCTACGGTTGATGATATAAATCCTGCATGACCCATGATAAGGAATATACCATAATTCCCATAGTTTCGGGCCCTTAAAATAATGCGGGATTTATATCATCAACAGTAGTATAGATACCCATACTACGAATAAAGGCTTCGATCCCCAGCTCCGAGGCTTCTCGACGAAGACCGGCGACCCGAGCCGGGAGTTCTCTCTCTTCGGAGAGAGGCGTGGGGGTTTGGGGTTTAGGGGTTTGGGGTTTAGGGGTTTGGGGTTTTAGAGTTTGGGGTTTTAGGGTTTAGGGGTTTAGGGGTTTGGGGTGTTAGGGTTTAGGGTTGAGGCTTTAGGTGTAGGTAGGGCCTTGATGCCCGAAGGGGGCTTAAGCAAGCAGAACATGACTCCTTTACAGGGTTTCTACAAGGGTTACCCTCGTATTGCTATCAAAAGGGGTCTGCATAAGTAGAGTAGGCCAATATGACGGTTCCTTCAGGGGCTTTATACGGTTCAGGGCTTTGTGGCTTACAGTTGTCGGGTTTAGGTAGGAATAGGGGTCACAGGAAGTAGAGTAGGATTCCTTCAAAGCTTTCTGTAACGGGTACATATAAGCGTTACTATCAGAGAGGCGTGGTCTAGAGGTATTAGCAATAAAACTGGGGGTCTGGGTGCTTTACAGTGTTTAGGGCGTTGTGGCTTTCGGGTTTAGGGTTTAGCTGGGAATAGGGGTGTTCAGAATTTGTAACAGGGTTCCTTTGAAGACTTTCTAGAAGGGTTGCTATCAGAGCTTAGGGTTTAAGTTCCTCAAGGAATAGAATCGGGTTTTGTGCTATGTTGCAGTATAACTTTTAATGAGGAGCCCCAGCAATCTGCAATAAATCATGTCTCGTTTCGGTTTATGTCAGTGTCTTGTGGCATTCGGGTGTGGGGGTTTGCAGTGCGAGGCTTTAGGGTTTACGAGGACATGAGAACTTTCCTGAAATGTGGCAGCCTACCGGCAAGGCTCACGAAGGAATCGTATTTTACCGCTTCATCCAAGGGCTGGTTGGAGTTCTGCCTGTAAACCATGCTGCCAGACTTCGCCAACCCTTCCGACGGCCTGTTCCAGCGCAGGGTTGAAAGTTGAGGGTGGAGGGTTCAGGGCTTCTTCCGTCACGGGACCAGTTGGTCCGGAGCAGTCCGAGCTCTTTCGGTTTCTGTAGGGGCTTCTTTGTATCTTCAGCCGTAGAGGTCCAGCACCTCTGCTTTCCAGCTCTTTTTGCACGTAGACTGCCCGGACATCCCAAGCGCAGTGAGCGAGTGAGTGAGTGAGATGACAGGTTTAGGGTGTCGTGTTTGGGAATCCCTAATGGTTTGAAGACTTTCGTGGAGACGGGCGGCCGCACCCTAAACTCCGTATAGCACCAACAGCTCGACTGTAAGACCTTGACTTCTCAACTCCCTACTATAGGCCCAAAGCCTTGCTAAACCGTAGCTATACTTACCGTCAGCCCTAAACCTTCAGCTGCTAACGGCGAATGAGCAAAGGGGGTTTCGCAAGACTTCTATTGAACCTCCGGCCTTAAACCTTGATAGGAAAGCCCTTTAGAAACTCCTTTGGAAACCGCTTGGGAAAGCCTGAAAGTAGGAAGCCCTTACAGAAGCCGTAAAGCTTGTTGAGCTCTAAGGCCCGAAGGCTTGACCTGGACCGAACACCTGGAACGCAGGGACCCTATAGAAACTTCCCGAAAGCCCTACGAAGAGAACGGCACTATAAACCCTCCCGAAAGCCCCCATACCGAAACTCCTGCAGCTTGTTCGAGCCCCCGCAGCCTCCCTTAACCCCCAAACCCCCAAACCCTAAACTCCAACTTCCGAAGCCATAGACCCTAGACCCCAGACCGTATCCTAAAAACTTAACTTGAACCACCCAAAACTCTGAACCCTAAAGCCCAAGACTTCTAAGCCCTTAAAGACACCCTTACAGGCACCCGTATATAAAGGTACCCTTACACAACCCTTACAGGATAGCCCTAAGCCCCCAAACCGTGAGCCCTAAAACCCGACATTTTAAACCCTAAACCTTAACACCCTGAGCCCCAAAACCGAAGCCCTAAACCCTCAACCCCTAAAAATGTGATATGGGTGGTTGTCAAAATTGTGGTCCCTTTTTTTGGGTACCCTAAAATTCTAGGTGCCGCATAATGAACTAAAAAGGGACCTTAATTTTGACAACCACCCATATAAAAATTGCCTCGGATCTTGGAGGCAGGCGGTGAAGCACCGGGCCCTCTTCGTCTGGCTCTGGGAGGTCGCGCCGGTCTTCACGGCCAGGAGCCCCACAATTTTGAGGGCTCTAGGTTCACTTTTTTGTGTTTGAGGGCTTTGGGTTTGAGGGTCGTGGGCTTGGGGCTTTGGGTTTAGGGTTTCCGGGGTTTCAAGTGTCAATGTCAATGGAGTCATGGGTTCAGGGTTTTAGGGAGTCTTCACGGCCGAGCGCTCAGGTTTCAGGTTTTCCACAAAAGGGCAGAAAGGCATCCTCCGAAGGATTCCTGTGAGAGTTCCTTAGGGGGGGGGTGCTTTTTGGGGGGTTTGGAGGCTTTTGGGTTTGGAGGCTTGGGGATCAAGGAAGCTCTGGGGGCTTCGGCCCGGTTTGGGGCTTTAGGGTGCGTTTCAGGGTGAAGAGTCTGGAGTTTGCACGCTTTGAAAACTTGAGGTACGTATTTTGGAGCTGGAGGTAAGGGGTTCAACGATGCTTCAGTCTGCAACGGCTTTGCAGGATGTTGCGGAGTGTTCTTTAGTGGTTTTGCAGATGCTGATACGGCGGCTTCGTGCAGGTGCTTGCTATGGTCTCAGACAGTCTGAATCCTAAACCCGAAACCCCAACCGAGAGCATTGTGGGCTTGCGCCGCATCGGGCTTGGGGGTTTCGCACAGGACCCTGGATGGCTGGACGTATGATTACAGCCGAGCCCAAGCGAACAGCATGTGCATGCTTGTCAATGCGCTTGATATGATCTTAGCAAAAAATCCGGAGCTAAGGGGTATTGGGCTTCCTGCGATGTGTTGTGGGGTCCTTGCAGAACCCTCTGAAAACCCTTACAAGGCCTTGAACAACAAGAAACCCTGTGGAGTCAGCGGTCTCACCCTAAGCCCCTCACTCCAGATCCTAGACCCTAAACCTTAAACACTACAAAGGGCTTTCGAAGATACTTTTTTATGCGGATCGACAAGTTTCCCTAAAAGAAGGAAGCCTAAAGCCCAAGACCCTGCAGCCTAAATTTCAAACCCAAATCGAAGACAGCAAAAATCCCTAGGCCTGGCTCTCCTTTATCCTGAACCCGCTCTCCGTCACACTGGTCCTCTCTGCGGGGCTCACGCTGGGGCCTCGGATCTTTCCGGAGAGTTCCTGAAGAAGGGCAGGCGGGAGGACAGGTCTAGGGTTTGAAGGGTTTCGGGGTTTTAAGGATTTCCAGGCTGGTTCTATAGGGTTGGCAAACCTTAGTGGTTGTGGGATTATTTGTCGGCGTTGGGTTTGAGGTTGATTTAGGGTTTAGGTACTGAAAAGCTTGGAGGCCACTGCAGCTTTCGGGGATTTAGAGGTCTTGAGAAAGGTTTGCTCATTGTTGCATGTTGTTAGGTTACTAAGCCCCAGCTTCTTCACCCAAAACCCCTTAACTCAGACCATAGACCCTAAACCCCAACCCCTAGACCCCAAACCCTAAGCCCCTAAACCCCCAAACCTCTAAGCCCTAAACCCCTAAACCCCATATGCCATTGTCTTACATGGCAAAAGCAGACAAGCAGCCTACACAAGTTCACAGGACAAGCACATATAGGCAGTTAACGCGACCTTGCTGTAAAACCCTACAGCCCCAAACCCCAAACACCCAAAGCCGTAAAACAATGCCCCAGACCAATCCCTGCAGGATCCTTTCGAAAACATAAACGACCTGCAGCCAGACACCTCTACACCCAAGGATGGCTTTGTGGTTCGCATTCCCTTGGGATGGCTCTCGCTACGTGATGTCGCAGGCGCTTTTTGTTGGTTTGAGTCCAGGGTTTTCCTTTTTAAATGCATATATATATATATAAGTATATATATATATATATGTATACAAACACATACATACATACATACATACATACATACATACATACACACATACGTACATGCATATACATACATATACGCACACACACACCTACACATACACATGCACATACACATACACATACACATACACATACACATACACAAACACATACACGTACACCCATACACATACACACATACACACATACACACATACACACATACACACATACACACATACACACATACACACATACACACACACATACACACATACACACATACCCACATACCCACATACCCACATACGCACATACACACATACACATACACACATGCACACATACACATACACATACACTTGCATACACATGCTACATGCATACATACATATGCATGCATACACGCGTACGTACATGCATATCTATGTATATGCATGCATATATGTATGCATGCATGTGTGTAGGTATCTATGTATGCATGTATGTATGTATGCATGTATGTATGTACGGATGTATATATGTGAGTATGTATGTGTGTATACATATAATATGTATGGTTTCATCCTGTTGGGAGTCTTGTAACGGTTCCAGAGAGGCTCATCGGGACCACTTGGAGTTTAGGGTTGATGGTTCAGTGGTTTACAATCTAACGTCAGTGTTTCGAAAGCTTACGGGCGTAGAGTTGCAGTGAACCCCAAGCCCGATAAACAGTTCTGAAATCCCGTAAGCCAGAGAGCCCAAGGCCCCTTGATTCAAGAATGCATACCTTCAGTATAGAGAGATCCTGAATATGATTGATATAAAGACATATTGAATGAGTTGTTCTGTTGATCTTTCCGCATCACTTCCTCTCAAGGTTATTCCAGGGTTTCGCGGGGTCCTGGACCTTTGTGAGGGGTTTTGGGATACTTTTGAACGAGTATCCCGCACCCCGCACAGGGTGTTATGGGGATTTGTGGTGGTCTTTCATGAGGGAGTAGCCCACATTTGTGTTTGTTGTTGTTAAGTCCCTGAAATGGTTTACGGAAAAGGTTGGAGGTTTGAGGTTTGTACGGTGGTGGCTGGGAGAGATTTAAGGTTCAGCCTGAAGCCCCGGAGCCATCAAGCCTAAGGCCAGTAGAAACCCTGCACGCTCTACACACACTGTTATACGAACCATGTAGAAGCCCTATGGAAGTCCGCTTGTACAGAGGAGCCGTTAAGTCCCAAAAGTACACCCCAAACCCTAGACCCTAAATCCCTAAACTGAAAGATGCTGAGCCCATTTGCGCACTTTGCCAGCGGGAGGCCGCTAACGCGGAGGCTTTGTATTGGGCCTTGCCGCTTGCAGCGCCCTGTCGTTTTAGAGGTAAAGACCTGGTGGCTCTGGTGCTGTTGGGTGTTTAGGGGTTAAGGGGTTTAGGGGTTGATGTGCTCTAGTGTTTTTGGGTTGTTAGGGGTTAAGGGGGTTTAGGGCTTAGGCTTAGGGTGTAGAGTTTAGGGCTCAAGGTTGTTAGGGATTTAAGGTTCCGCGGAATTTGGGTTAGAATGTAACCCCGTGCTGTAACTTCCCAACTCCTAGATCCACTTTAAGCATCCGGTGCGAGGGAAACAGACTCAAGCTTTGAGAGGTAGCGCTTCGGGTTCAAGGTTTGCCGAATCCGTGGGTCCCGTGTGCAGGAATAGCATTGAAATCTGTATGACCCTTACCATTAAGATTCATAGAACGGCTACTACCAATAATACTGAGAAGACAAAGGTATCTTGCTTGGCTTTGAGCCATAAGCCTCAGCCCTAAGGACAAGCCAGTAGGTGTTAAGGGCTTCGGATGAGGGGTGGGGTTCAGGGCTTAGAGTTTGGGGTCCAGGGTTTAGGGTGTAAGGCAAGGCTTTAGGGCTTTGGTGTTCAGGGTTCGAGGTTTAGGGTGCACCAGGGGCTCGAAAGCTAGAGGCTTATGGCTTCTCCCCCAACCCTAAGCCCCAAACCTTTCCGGGTCGTAGACTTCTTGGTTTTCATAGGCTTCGGCGTCCTTTTCTATTGTCGGGCTTAGGCTTGCGGGCAGACCTGGACCCTGTGAAACCCAGGGTTTCGAGGCCTCCTTGCTATGCTTTGCCCTTCAGAAGGTAGGTTATTGGGGGGTTAAGGTAGGGGGTCAGGTTCCGAATGCGCGAAAATGCTGGTTTCGGTGTAAGGCCGAGTGTCGAGGTGCAGGGTGGAGGCTGCTACAAGTCTGAGACTGAGTTCTTGTTAAGGGATTTAATAATAATTCCCTACCTGCTACACCCAAACCTGAACATAAACCTTACGCCCAGAACGCCAAAACCCGAAAGCTAAAGCCCAAGACCAGATCACAGCCCGATAGAAACCCTGTGGAAACCCTCAAAGACGGTGTAGAGCCACCACATCACGAGGAACAGAGCGAGACGCCGTACAGAAGCTCTGTAACTACCTTATACCCTGAACCTTCTCAATCCCAAGCCCCAAACCGATTGAAACTTTTTCCCGAAGCTCCAAAAAGCCCAGAAGCCTTCTGTAGTATTCCATGGGGCCCAAGCATTGGAGCCTCGGAGCTTGAACTCCCAAGGAGCGACGGGAAACCCTACAAATCCTGCCGGAACGTGCAGAATCCGATTGAACTCCAGAAGAAATCTACCCCACAAACCCAACAACAACTAGTTTCGGTGAGACAACCCCAAACCCGAAAGCAAACCCTAACCCCTCAACCCCTAAACTAAACAACCCTATATAAAACCCCCAAACCCCTAAACCCTAAACCCCTGATAGCCTAAACCCCTCAACCCTGAAAGTAGTGAGAGCAACCCTACAAGTAGTTACGGTGAGACAAAAGGCGCTCAGCCTCATTTCCTCGCTGGGAACGTCCTGGTGGCTCAGACTCGGGGGCGAGCATGTGGCCAAGGCATCGTTGGGTTTAAGTGTTTTCTGGGTTGGGGGTGTTGGGGTTTTAGGGTTTGGGGCTTTAGGGGTTTAGGGTTTAGGGCTTTGGGGTTTAGAGCTTTAGAGGTTCAGGGGTTTAGGGTTTAGATAGATTTTCTCTCGCCTCACAGCTTCTTGTTTTGGGTTTGTATAAGGCTTTGTAGGTGCTCATCGGATTGTTTCGTGGTTCCACGAGGTTTCTAGGTGCTCAGGGTTAAAGATGCTTTATGCTTGTGTAAAGGGCTTCTGTAGGGTTCCACAGAGTTCTATAGGCAGAGTTCTATAGGGTTTCGGGTTCATGAAGGTTTTGGCATATAGAATTACGTTTTCTTTCAGGGTCGCCGGTCAAGATAACTCTGCGTTCGACTGAACCCTGGTGCACGCGGAACAGGCAGGCGTTACCATCATATCCCAGCGCATCTATTATAGAAGCCTGCATCCGAAATAGTTACCAACATTATTCCTTAGGACTCCTCATTATAAGTATGCTATAAGGGATCCCAACACCCCATCCTAATTTTTAAGGCCCATACATTACACATCCTTCTTGAAGGTGCATCCCAGTTTGAAGAGCCCTTTATTTGAGAGCCGCGTAACACGAGGAAGCCTTGAAGCCTTCTGCTTATCTTGTCTTGACTCTTCTTGAGCCATGTTGTTTTGTTGAGTTATGCTAGGCTTTGTTTTATCAAGGAATCGCCCGAGAATTGATTGCTTATCTTGTCTTGACGTTCTTGAGAGTTATGCTCCATTTGGATCAAGGAATCTCCGAAACATCATTTTTCTGAGGAATGTAGAGTCAGACGCCCGCGCTGGTGGGCTGGTACTGTACTTCGTTCTAAGGGTCCTGCAAAGAGTGCATGCACAGGCTTTGCAGACTGTTGTTTGTCACCGTGCAGAATCAGGGACCCACACCTTTGACAAGGTTTCCTCTTTACTTTAAAAGGATAGGAACTGATGGCCCCTAATTTTGTCGAGAGCTTCGCCCATATATAAGTCAACTGCGGCATCAAGCAACAAAGAGCATGTATGCAGTATATACATGATATATACATGGTTTGAGTGGCCCCAGAGATTAAGGGCCCACGTCAAGGGCCGCGGGTTTTGCCTTTGCGAGTCTTTTGCAGTAGAACTGGAGGGGGCGATCAAGATGGGACGGCAGTAGGGTGTGCGCCTGGAGAAGCTTCTGGAAACCAATGGAAAGCCTTGAGTGAACGCTTATCTATCAGAGTTTAAGCTGTAAGGTTTAGGGAAAGTGTTGGACAGCGAGGTCTCAAAATCTAATGTCTTACATCCCCCAGGCTCTTCATACAGTTCACAGCCACGAAACGTTCTCTTCAATTCCTGTTCTGGGACATTACAAAAGCCCTCCTACTGCTACTACGACGACGACGAATCCTAGGCCCTAAGCCCCAGTGCCCTAAACCCTAAAACCCCTAAACGGGCTTTTTGGCTCAAGCTGCTACGGCTCAAGCTCTGGATAAGAAGGTATTCCGCTCTTCCCTGTGAAACGAGGCGATGGCCCGGCAGCTTGGACAAGACGCTACTGAAGTTGATGCATGGTATGCCAACACCCAGGACAGGTGTCATCCGGACATGCTGCGCAACACTGGTGCCCATCCTTTCAACTCGGAGCCACCTCTCACGAACTCGCGGGGAGCTGTTTGGATTGCACCGCCTGCTTTGTATGTGGTTCGAAAACATGGAGCAGTGCACAGCCTCAATGGTCCGAGCATCGACTGAGGACTACAGGAGTCGCAAAGCCTGTAGAGCTGAGCACGGAACAGTCGCATCTGGTGAATGGGGCACTATTGTGACGATCCCAGTGGCTTTATCTGTGCATCAGTGCAAGGGTTTTAGCCCCTCCCTGTGGACGAACATAGAAGGTTGATGGGAGGTGGATTCTGAGAGCTTGACGAACTTGGCCTCTGTACAAAGGTATCAATTTTCCTTACCATTACTGCCAAATGTCTGTACAGATCTCTGATGCGCGACAACTTCCGAATATCCTGAGGTTGAACTAATTTGGTGCATGTTAGCGCGACGATTTCCCAGATGTATTCCCAAATTGGAATTAGGTGCACGTTGGCGAGACGATTTCCTAGATGTATTTCTGAAATGGAATTAAGTGCACGTTGGCGTGATGACTTCCAAGATTTCGATGTAATCTCGACTCGGTCCCGTGAAGGACAGCAGGTGGCAGGTTTTCATCAGCATTTTTCCCTGTAGAAAAGCGGGGCGTGCTGATTTAGTGTATGCCCGTATGAGGGTAGGCGCGCTTTGGAGAAAGGGGCGTCATTGCACTTTAAAAAAAAAACCCTAAACCTCAAATCCTTAAACACAAAAGGACGATGTCTACTCGTCGATCCGCCCGCATGCGGCCGCAGTCAGCCGCTGGCTCCACGGCCGGCGATCTGTTTTGACGTTTGTGTTGGTCTTTAGGGGTTTGGGGCTTGTGGATTAGAATTCGCGATGCCGTTCCCTTATAGTCCGTGTTGTACATAAAAGCAAACTGTATAGCAGTAGTTTTCCCTTATTATAGCCCGTATCATGAACAAAGCAAAGCCTATGCTGAGACCCTACTCAAACTGCTTAGTCACAGCTGCAGCCAGTAAGGCGCCTTGCCGTCCTTTACCCCGCACTCTGCCTGTGAGCCCAATACGAAACGATACGGAAACCAGATTATAAAGGGTTGAGGGTTCAGGGTTTAGGGGACATACCATGAAAAGCACGGGTAGCAAGGGGGCGACAGTGGGCATAGTGACCAGGTGCGTAATGTAATGCCCCTATGTTACCTTTGTTGTTTATTGGGATGTTCCGGTTAATATTACGGTTTTCGTAAGGGCCTTCAGATTGGATGTTGTAAGGCTGATTTTCTCGATTTTTGAGGAGGTCCTGTCAAGGCTTTCGGCGCAAGGTCTTGGAGCTTCTTCTGCTCAAGCTTTGCTAGGCTTGTTTTAGGCTGTGAATCAGGTGAACCTTGAGTTTCTCACTGGTGATATACGAGGTTTGGTGTGTGTAGGGTTTTCGCGTCACGGTGCAAAGCCTGGTGAGCGAAACCGCCACAGCGACCGAGGGTTAAGGGTTCCAACTGAGGGCTAAGGGTTTAGGCCTGTAGTTTTTGAGTTTAGTCTTGCAGGGTTTGAACCCGATATCTAAACCCTAAACCTGAAAACCCCCAAACCCTAAGCCCTAAACCCTAAACCTGAACCCCGGAAACCCTCAACCCCAAACCCTAAGCCTGAAACGCCCAAACCCAAACCCTAAGGTCAACCGTAAGCCCGAAACACACACCCAGAGACCCGAGCCGCGAAGGCTTCGAAGTCAAGCCTTGAACCCAAAACCCGAAAGAGCCCAAAACACCAACGCCTCAAACCCCAAACCCCAAAGTCAAGAACAACTTGTGTAAAAACCCAGATAAAGCTGTTAGAACCCTAAACCCTAAACCACCAAACAAAACCCCAAAGTCTTGATAGACAACCCCAAAAGCCCTGAGCATTGGCTGACGGCCGCTGAGGTGGTTTCAGCGGCCGATGAACGGCATCTTTTTTGGCCTTTTCGGGCTCTGGCGCCTTGGAGGGTTGGGACTTGGGGCTAGTTTAAGTGTTTCGTGGTCACGGTTAAGGCTGTGGAGAATTCAGGGTTTTGGGGTTTAAGAGTTCTTGCACCCGAGGCAGCTCACAGGGAGTGTCTTCAAGAGTCAGACGAGCAAGCAAAGCAGCAGCATGAAGTGCAAACAAACCCCTCAACCCTCAACCCTAAGTCCTCAACCCTCAACCATAAGTCCTCCACCCTAAGTCCTCAATACTAAGCCCTAAACCGTCAGCTTGAAGCCCAAACCCCAAACACTACGCCCAACGATTCAAATCGCGGGTTTAGGGTGTAAAAGCGCCTAGGATTTGGCAACTCCTGACACCTAGGCTCCAAACCTGATACGTCATTCTCTAGGGTTCCTTATACTTATAGCTATGATAGCCTGACTGTCACTCTTTAGGCTTCCGTGTGATTACCGCTATCACTACTAGCATAAAGATGCCCCCCGAACCGAAGCAAGTGAGTAGCCCCAAGAGCTGAAGACCTCCCATGGCCATCTGAAACCATTCAGGGTTTAGGGTTTAGGGTTCAGGGTGTAGGATTTAGGGTTTTGGGTTTTGGGCTTAGGGTGTAACGTTTAGGGTTATAGGGTTTAGGGTTTAGGGTAAGGTTTTCAGATAGAAACCGAGAATTTCCGAATCTAAGCCGCGATCAAAGCCTTGTGGAGCCGCAAACAGCACCCACGGGAGCTTCACGAGGCATGCCATAGCAGCATAGAAGCCTAGACAATCATAGGATTCCTTAAAGTCTAAATTTCATCATAAGAAATAGAAGCCTAAATAATTACCCATAGTATTTGTGAGGGTTCCTTAATTTTGTTTTATTACAAAGAAGCCCAAAAGGCCCCTACATTACACCCCAAACCCCTGATACCATGCGCTAAAGCCCTGCGAGCCCGAACGACCAACAATCTTTCTAAAACCCGACAGCCAAAACCCTGGCACCCACCCCTCTTCGGAGCCTCCGTAGCAAATCGAAATCCGAACCCCGAAGCCGAGCCACATCGAAATACTACAGGGGCCTAAGTAGTTATCTACATTATTTTGGGGGTTCCTAATTAGATTACAGTATAATGGGCCACAAAAAGCATTATTCCAATTCTTAAGGCCCCTTATATGAAGTCGACGCCTGGGCGCTTTTGGAGGGTTCTCTCGTTTTGGTTCCTAGGGCATCTATCCGGGAACCTGCATCCCCCCAAGCCTAAACTAAAGGCCATATCAACCGTGAAGCCCCGTGCAACGGCCTGGAGCACTTTATGATGAAACGCGACAAGGAAGTTCGAGGATTCACTGAATATATAGCATGTTACGGTAGATTTTAGTATCTGTATATAATGTAGTATTTGATAGCGTGTTCATTGCATCTAATATGATCGTATCTTGTAGTGCCTTACCAATACTATTTTGGGGGTTCCTGATTATATTATAATACGATGCCCATTCCAATTATTAAGGCCCCTATGTTGAGGAAGTTCTAGGATTCCCTGAATGCCGACCCGATGCCACCCTAAAGCCTAAACCCTTGCATTTGGTGACCCTATCATAGAAGCATATAGAACCTCAACGAACCCTACAGCGCGCCCTTCAAAGCCCTTGAACCACCCGATGCTAGGTGCATATTCGTCCTCATCGTGGCTCCGCTGCTAGCCGTGCAGGGCCGCCGAACGTCCACTTGCCAGGTGCAGGGGAGGGAGGTTGAGGGTTAGAGGTTTAGGCCTTGTAGCCCCTAAATGTGTATACCATCATACTACCTACAACCTATTAAAGTTATTAGTACCCTTGTCTGGGAACTCGGATTTCTGGCTTAACCCAGTGGTCCAGTGGTGCATGCATTTTCGATAGGGGAGCATCTAAACTATCGCTGCAGTAGTTTGACTTCGTTGTCCTTTTGTATGTTCATGACTACGTTGTGTGGGTTCTTCAAGTTCAATGCTTCCATGTTCTGTACGGGCTTTGCGCTATGAAGCAAGTTTTATGTCTTCGGGAGTGTATACAGGGCTCCTTTGAATAGTCGTGAAGAATAATGGCAGCTTATAAGGGTCACATGACAGAGTTCTTTATCATATTCCCAAAACCCAAACCCCAAATCCAAACGCGATACCCAAACCCTAAACCTGAACAATCACGACCTGAAGCTCTAAGTCTCGAGCCCTGCCCTGCTAGGTTCGACTCTTTTCTTCCTTTAGGGGCCTCAAGAAGTACCTATACTCTTTTGTGGGGTTCCTTGCGGTAATTGTGGTAGAATGTACTATAATACCTCTACTATTTGGGAGGTTCCTTATAATTGTAGCATAATATACCACAAAACCCTATTCTAATAATGAAGACCCCGATTTTACGGGTTCTTGGAACATCTCGGCATCGAATTTCGTCCGGGACATGATTAAATGGCTTCGATGCAGACATGATGCAGGGGCCCTTATCCCCCAAGTGCAGCATGTTGAAGTGTGTGTTCAGGTGAGGCTGATAGGCACGAAACGAGCAAGGGACAAGCGGCAGTTTCTGTGTATACAGGCCCCGCCGAGACGGGCTCTCCAGACGAAGAGAATGTGTCTTCTTTTTCTACTCAACTCATGGCTCTTCACGCAACCGTGCTGTTCGATTCTTGATCAATATACCCGGCCACCAATTACTGGGTTCCTTCACAGGAACCCTTAAAGGAGCCCTTAAGAGTTCCTTTTATGGGATACAGCACCCTTTAAAGGCCTGAAGCCTGCAGTCTGAAACCTCAACCCTAAAACCCTCAACAACAAAAGCTTCAAGCCTTAACACCCTCTATAAAGCCATTACAAAACTTCGAAATAATCCTCACAAGCCTAAGGCTAAACCCTAAAACGCTTAGGGTCAGAGTTTACTGGCTGGACCTCCTTTGTCTTTTGCACGCAGGTGGGAGGCTGCGAGAGCACGCTTGGAGTTGTGGCACCTCGATACCACTGAGAGAGTTTGGGATTTTGGAGGTTCGGGTGTCAAGCACCCAAGCTCGGAGTTTAGGATCGAAAGCCTGGGACTCTGGAGGACCTTCCGAAAGCCGAGCCCCCCTGAACCCCCAAGCCACAAAATCCTAAACCCTTGAAGCCTTGACACTCTGAACCTGGCGCGCTGATCTTTGATTCGTCTTCGGCCGGCTAAAAGTTCCCTCAACCCTAGACCCTAAACCTCTCTCATAAGCCCTCGGGTTGAAAAACGTTTCGAAACTCGAGGACGGCACATGTGGTGTCAACGGCTGCGGCTGTGGGGACCGGGCGACAAGCTGGGTTCAAAGTTTAGGACTTCTGGGACTTATGGTCTGAGGTTTAAGGTTTGGGGTTTGGGGGTTTAGCAGTTTAGGGTTTAGAGGGTTTATAGGGTTTAGGGTTTAGGGTGTAGGGGTTTAGCAGTTTAGGGTTTACGAGGTTCAAGTTGGTGGGTGGGGTCTTGGGTCTTATGTGTCAGGACGGTTTTTATGGTTTAGATGTCGTGGACTTTAGGGCTTGGAGAATCAGGGTATGCCTGGTGACGAAGGAAGCAGTTAGAGTCATGGGGAAGATGAGAAGAATGACACCGACAAGACTCATACGATCGGAAATAGTCACTGTAACACTAAATTCTGTTACTCACGGTTGCAACTGGAAAGGTCATGGCCATCATAGCGAAACTCTGATTGAGAGTGCGGAGATGGCCATGACAGGGAGGGAAGCATCTTTCGTTCGTCGACGACTTCGTGTTATCGGGCATGTTGTAAATATATTCTTGAAGCCTCAAATCCATGAGCCGAACACCCAACAGGAGCCCGCGCAGAACGACAAACACACTCTGAACCATGAAGCCTAAACCAAGACCCAATCCGAAACACTAAATGCAACAACAGAAATCCGAAACCCTCAATCCCTAAACCCTAAAATCTAAAGCCCTAAAGCACCAAAAAGATGAACGCAGGACTGGGCCGACCTGTCTTGTAGTGCTGCCTCGACACTGAGCACCTACTGCCCGGCGGCTGGGACTTCGATGTAGTCACTTGGGTCCCAGACCCTGAACCCTAATCTTTAAAGGCTAGGATCCTCCAGATACAGAGCCCCCAAATGGGTAGTTGTCTAAGTTTCTAGAGCGCTACCCAGGCATGGAACGGTTGATGGGAATTATGGTATATTCCTTATTACGGGTAATGCAGAATTTATATCCCAAACATTGAAGCACCTGGAAATACTAAGATGCGCAGCTGCTGCCCTCCTTGGTTGACACGTCTCAAAAACCACAGAAGACCTAGAGAGACTCAACAAATTCCTCTACTTGGCCAATACAGCGTAAGGTATCTTGTGATCCCTACATTTCATATGATTTAGGGTATATGTAGCCTAATCGAGGGAAAGTTTAAATTTTTGAAGATCTTGCCAGCTCTCAAAACAGCCAGCAGGGTCCCAATTGAAGCTTGTCAGAACTCCCCTTAACTTTGCATCCCTAAAGCCTAGACCCTAATCCCAAACCCCCAAAGCCTAAACCCGAAAGCTTAATCCCTGAAGCCTAAAGCCTCGAACCTTCAACCTGAAAGTGTTAACCCTGTGCCCTTGGCCCTCTTGGAACTCTTCTGGATTCCTTTCGACCCTTCCCGTCACAAAGGGGGCTTTTTAACTACCTATACTATTTTGGGGGTTCCTGAATATGATTATAGCATAACATACCCCAAAACCCTATTCCAATTATTATTAAGGCCCCTATAGTACACTCCGATAATTCGTGTTCGCTTCAGGTGGGAGATTCGCCGCTTTGCTCCGAGGACTCTTCAAAGGACCCGCGGTTATCGTCCGTCTGCGGGGTTTGAGTCTTGGGTTGTGGGTTTAGCCCGTATGGTTTTGCGGTTTACCGCTTCCGGGTTTTGTGCTGCTGGTGCGTCCGTCGCAGTTGTTGCTGCTGCTGTTGCTGCTGATGCTTCTGCCGCTGTATCTAGCTGTTACTGCCGCGGGTGTCGCCTTCTTCATCTTGGTCATCCCTTTTGATGATCAAAATCTTCCTTCTTTTGTTTTCAACTCAGCGTTGGTGATTAACGTATGGTTCTCAGGATAATGTTGCTGTTAGGAATGATACTGGTGACGACAGTGATATCTAGATATCTCGCATTTCGTAGTTGCTTGATGCTCGTAGCTCTTGTGGCTGCCATCACAATGTTGAGACCAACCTCAGGTGGATGGTATTCCTTCACAAGAGAGTCTGTCAGCAATCTGCCTGTGCGGTTTGAGGGCCCCAGCCAAGTCTGATGGTGTGTCAGTATTTATCATGGGCCATAGTATGGGGGTGGGATCTGACAGCAAAGGCAAGCTTTACGAAGTGTTTCTAAACTAAAGATTAACATAGTGATCGATGATTATCTTGCATGTTCATGGTGCCAAAACACATTGCAACGATCCTTAGACCCCTGAGCCATGTATCCTGACAGCCCAAGCCCCGAACTGAATAGATCCCAAACCCTCAATCCTGAACTCTTCACCCTAAATCCTAGAGAATGATCCTTAGCACCCTGAACCATTAATCCTACACCCTGAACCCCTCAATCCTAAGTTCTTAAGCCTAAATCCGAAACGAGCCCTTCACTCAAGACCCTCATTGGTTTTTATTAAGGCCCCTATAGTAAATCCTTATAATAGCCCTTATAGTAACGTTACAGGAACTCTTACCATGAACCTTACTCCAATTCTTAAGGCCCCTTCAGTACGAATCCAACGACCTGCCCCGAAAGGCCTCTGGCGCCCACGGACTTCTGCTGACCGTCGCGCCGCGCGGCGCAGACTTTTTGAGCACTCGGAGTTTCAGGGCTGCGCATACCTGGATCCCTGAGATCACGTTAAAGCTTAAAATCCTGGAACTGTAAAGTCTCACGATAAATCATCATTCCCTCTTTCTCATCAAAGCTGGATTTTTGTTGTGATTGTTGCAAAAGACAGCCTATGTAGCACCGATTACCGACAAGTCCAAAACTTGCGGCGGAGACCCCGGAGAACCCTTGAAGTTCTGGTCGAGCTCTGCAGGACTTTAACTTAGGCCCCTGCCCGAAACTCTGCCTGCAAACCATAAGAACTAGATTTCTAGGGGCTCTTCTTATGAGCACCTCAAAAAGATCACACACTAAGCCCCCCTATACTCTTCAACATACTCTACGACTCTACACCTAAAAACCGAAGACTGCCAGCGCCCCTGAGGGGCGGCACCGTGCTCACGACCTTTCTGCTGCTTCTCATTTGGGCGATCAACCACGTGGCGATCATCCTCGCCTGGAAGAGGGCCCGGAACAGGGGGGGGGGTCCTTCCTAGGGTTGATGAAATTCATCCTGCATTACCGTACGGACCCTAGACTATGGGAATTAGGGTATCTTCCTTATTATGGGTCATGCATGGCTTATATCATCAACCGCAGGGGTTTTTGGGGGGGGGTTTGGGGTTCGGGGTTTAGGGCTCCTTATAGGCAGATGAGTCTCTGAGGCTATGTGAGGGTTAAATAGGAGGTGTTGGCGGTTTCAGAACGATTCTATCGTTGCTAGAACCGTGTAAGAGTTTTAAACGGCTATAGACGGGTTTTTAACAGCTTTGCAGAGCGGAACAAGCTTGCTACAAAAGGTTTATAGTGGTGCGGTTTCTTGAATGATCCATGCGCACGGTTGCGTGTCGGCAAAGACTCGAGGTGCCGCCGAAACCAGGGTCGGTGTGTCTGGCCCTCACCCTGAACCGTTAAACCCTAAACCCGAAACCTCGAAACCCGTCAACCCCAAACCCACTAAGCCCCTAGATCCTAAACTCTACATGTGAAAGCTCTAAGCCCTTAAACCATAAAACCCTTACCTTCAACTTGCTCCGCGGGCAGGGGGAGTCAGATCCTTCACCGGCGCTCAAAGCGGAGCCAGTCCCTTACCACAAGCGCCTTGGCGAAATTCGCAGCAGGATTTCGGGTTTAGAGTTCAGTGTTTAAGTAGTAGAGTGGGATGCCTTTGAGGGTTTCTTTAAGGGTGTGTTCATATGAATTTGTAACAGAAGGGTCTTAAGAAGTAGCTTAGGGTGATTTGGGTTTCAGGGTTCAGGTTGGGTGCTTAGGAGCTAGAACTGGGTGTGCAAGGACCTTGACCCCTAGAGTAGGGTTTCGGGGGCGCTACTCGGGCACGAATGCTGTAGCGAGGAACCCTAGGAATGACACTGAGGCCATTTTTGGCAAGGGGCAGGATTTTTGGGTTCCATGGATATGCCCGGTTTAGCTGGATCATTACATGTCTATGAGTCACTGCCTTGAAAGCCCTAAATCAGAAACCCCGAACCCTTCCAGAATCAAACAACGCATTGAATACGAGATTGGGCCTTAGGTTTTGGGTTCTTTAAGTTTAGGGTTTCGGGGCATTTGTGTGTTAAGGGTTTGAGGGTTTAGGATCCTATGGTTTAAGGTTTTGGAGTTACGGTCGTGCTGCCAGCCGACAGATTCCAAGAGCACTAAATGAAGGTTTCAGAGCTCTTTGCTTTTCAGACTTCTCTGACGAGATTGTTATTTGAAGGGACGTTTGGTTTCTGGGAACGCATCACAAATGGGATACCCTTCTAGGCCTTGTGTATGTGTAGTATAACATACCCCACCCTCTTCTGATCGTTGAGGCCACTGTCTCTTTTGTCGCAGTCTTATGCTTCTTGTTGCTGGGTTTTTGGCTTGTCGCATTGGGCCATTTGCACTGGAGACGTCTGGCACATTTATTGACTTAGCTGTATACCCTTGCATTGCTGGGGCATGCAGCTTCTTCACACCGTCGGTATGATGGGCAGTGTCAGTCTTACTGTCAGTATTGCTGCTCTTACTTTACACTTCTTCTTGTTCGGAATTGCTGCCATGATGGGTTAGTTCACGTCCCAACCTCAAAACCTTGACCCGGAAATCGCCTGAACACCAAACTGAAGCCGCCTACAAGGTACGAACCACCAACAGGGGGGCTGCTAAACTTGAGATTTTCAGATTCCGAAACCCTAAGCGCAAAACCCCTGAGCCGTAAACCCTGGGGGCCCACTAAACTTAAGCTTTTCATCGTCCGAAACCCTGGCTCAGGGTGACCTTGACCTTCGACCCCCCGCATCGCGGTCCCGTGGTCTTCACGGTCGGTGCAGATGAGGCCTGCAGATTGGGTTTAGGGTCTAGGTTGAATCTGTCAACAAGGCGCTTTTATTATATCAGATTGTTATGAGTTATGAGGCTTTCACGAAGGGGCCTGCATCAAGTCCTCTTCCTGGCTGTTGTAGTAACGACGGCGCCAGAACCCCAGTTCCCATTCGGGCTTCTATAATTCTAATGTGGGTACTTCTCGAAATCAGGGTTTCTTTTAGGAGCCCACATGAAGGCGGCACCCATATAAAAAGGACCCTAACGGGACCCTTATTTTAGAGAACTACCCATATCATGTATGTATACGCTCCAGAGCACCCCCTCAACCTCCCGATCCCGGAATTGTTCCTGACATTCGCGAAGGGGGTTTCGAGGGTTAGGGTTTGAGAAGAGATCTGTTCGAGCACGAAGTATATGCGAGGAAGACTCTTGTGAGAACTATATAAGGCACTGGTTCAAGCAGCTTTTCTCGATTCCACACAAGACAATGCCAGGACGTTCAGGAGCTTACTCGTCTCCTGCTCCCCGAGGCTTTCGCGAGGTGGCGGCCTTGTTTTCATAATATCCGAGCCTGAATGATGTGGGAGTTTCGGGAAATTATGGGTACCTTATTTGGAACGATGTGGGAGTTTCCGCAAATTAGGGTTATGTTATTTGGGGGTCCTTATTAAGGTCCCCTATCTGTTTTCACGGATCCTTCTTTGAGGTGTAGGGTTTAATTGGAGCGCCAGTAACGAGGCTAGGGTTCGGGGGTTGCTTTGGTATCGTCAGGGAGCCCTGAAGAATAGACTGCCAATCTTTGAGGTCTTGACTTAAAAAAGAGGTTGCCAGGTGTTTGAAGGATTCGTAGAGGGGTTCGAAGTTCTTAGAGTGCCATAGGGCTTTCTAGCTTTGTCACAAGGGTGCTATGCGGTTTCACAGGGTAACCATGGTTCCTTGAATAAATGAAATCCCGCAAGAGCAACATAGTTTCAACCCAAAAGATCATATCAATAAAGCCCTCGCAGGACAAAGCCGGAAGGCCTACAAAGCCCTGAAGTCACAACAAAGTCGTTAAATCCTAGACTCTAGCCCAAAAAAATTGCTTTAAACCTTAACCAGTGGGCACGAGATCGACAAAAACTCCGCGACAGTCCGCTGGTTCCCACCTGGGCACAGCCGCCTGCGGCGGAGCTCTGGGGCGGCGACGAGGCAGCGACACGAGGGCTCAGCTGTACAAAGAGGGTTTTATGGGTTGCTATACTGGTTGTTTAACAGGTTTCTATAGGGGTATTCAAAAAGGCTTTGCATAGGGTGTCTACACGGGTTCTGGAAGGTTTAGAACGATTAGAAAGAGGTTTTTGCTAACTCGTAGTCGGAGTCCGGTCACAACACACGAGATATTCTATCAACTCAGACTACTGCAGGGGTCCTGTCATGACATAAGCTTCTTCATTGAACCATATCGTTGACCTTGTCGTGAAACAAAGGATCTTTCTTCCTTAATGAAGACATGTTGAGAAATCCGAGTCCTTCGGTCTGATCTAGCTGTTCCTGAACCTCAATCCCCATGCCCTTAACCCCGAGCTTTAAGCCTATCCGACCCCCATACAATATCTCCTGCGGATGTTTCGGCTCGGACTCCTCGGAATTGAATTTTGAGCATTTCGGGTTTAAACAGTTTTAGGGTTTAGGCTTGTTAGGCGGAGCTTTTAGGGTTTAGGTTGCAGCATAAGGGTCGGGCTTTAGGGTTTGGGTGGTTGTCAAACTTAGGGTCCCCTTTTGGGTCGTCAATATAATACGGCACCTGATATTTAGGGTACCCAAAAGGTACCCTAATATTGACAACAACCCATTTGGGCCTGGGAGTTTCAAAGAGCAGGTGACCCCTAATGCAGACCCCCCAAAGAGCGGGACCCATGTTACAAGGACGCCGAGATCTCTTGAAGCAAAAATCAGAATTCTGGGTTTGGGGACTCAACACCAAGAATGCTATATGGGAGTTTCCGAAAAATGGGGGACCCTAATATGGTACCCTAAATAGCAGGATGCTTATTATAGGGATCCCAAAATAAGGTACCCCTGTTTTCGGAAACTCCCATATTTCAAGCCGAAAGCGCTCGAAACCTCAGACTTTCGGACTTCGGATTTTGGGCCAGGACCCGTCCACGCTCCTCGCGAACCCATCGACGATGGCAGCGCCCGAGGATCTCCAGTGGGATTGAGGTGCCCTCAGTTTTGGGCAGTTTAGCTTTTAGGATTTAGGGTTTTAAGGTTAAGGGATTTCAGGGTTTGGGGTTGAGGGTCTGGGGGTTTAGGGTTTAGGGTATTGGGCTTGAGGGTGTAGGATTTAGGGGGCTTTGGCGTTTTGGTTTTGAGGGCCCTTATGATTTTTCGGATCTTCCTAAAACCCTTACGTGGTGAAACCTCTACTAAGCCCTAAACACTGCATCCTAAACCCTAAACTTAAAACCCTTGTTACACCACTGTTGTAATTTGTTCCTCATAAGCAACCCCTGGAACCGTGTAGATGCAACATCAGGGCTGCTTCTTGAACCCTTGCATATCCTTGCAAAACCCCTTAAAGGCGCTATTCCTTACAAACCCTGTAAACCCCAAATGCACCATCTCTACCCTTTGAAACAAGGCACCTTCAACACAACCCTCCCCTTGGGATTGAGGTGCCCTCAGTTCTGGGTTTAGGGTTTAAGATACCCTTGTTTGTCAGTACCTTCAACACAACCCACCCCTCTTCCGCATCGCCTTCGTCAGGTTGCCAAAGTCCGGGGCCCCACCGTGCGACAAAAAGATGTGCCATGAAGCGCCCTCAGCCCTAAACCCCAAACCCAGACCCCCCCAAACCTCTGAACGTAGGAAGAGCCTGGCACCATACAGGCTTTCTCATGGTGATCTAGTTAAGGAAATTGATTAACCCAACACCCTATTCTAATTCTTAAGGCCCTCATAAGTGTGCCCTACGCTGCATGGTTTCACTCAGCTCTGGCATGTTTTGAAGAAGGAGATCTGCTGGTGATTTCAGCCCAGCGCGATCCTAAACCCGAACGCCCTGCTAGAATTGAAAGCAGTTTAGAGTTTAGGGGGTGTAGGGCTCAGGGTTCAAAAAGCAAGGGTCCAGGTGAGTCTCAGAGAAGTAGGACCTAAAAACAGATCCCAAGTTGCCTCTGAAGCAGGCACTAGAGGGAAATCCTGTGGAAGGCCTCGCAAAGCAAGCCTTCTGTCCTTGTAAGGCTCTTTTCGAAAAGCGTCTTATCACAGAAACCCATCCGGTTGCCCATAATCATGAGGGTCATAGCCCAATTATCTGCGGGGGCTTTTTCACTTAGCGCCGTTATCGTCGCGTCCTCGCTGCGAGGCTATGGTTCGGGGGCTGGTGTTGAGTATAGGATTTGAGCATTAGTCAGACTATATCGTTGTACTCCATATACGTATATGAATATGAAACTTCATTCTAGTGGTATCCCGGTGTAGTCCCCATACGCTTACATTAAGATCGATTCCAATGAGGCCGAAGCCTTAAACCCTCAAAGACAAAAAGCTAGACCTTAACCTCAAAGCCTTGAGCCTTTTGCCTTCAATAACCCTATGCCCTTCTTTACAAACCCCACCCCTTAAGCCCCAAGCCCTAAATGCCGCAAGCCCTGCATTACAAGGTGTAGGGTCTCGAGGTTGAAGCCCAGTGGCGGGATTCAGGTTTTGGGTTTACTCTTTAGGGTTGAAAGGGCTATTCCTGCGAACACGTCCTGATGAGGTCACTGCTACTTCAGCTGTGGACAATCAGGCCAACCGCTTGCTGCCCTCGTCTCAAGCTGTTTCGGGATGTTGGAAGTAGGCGACTTAGTTTACGTGTCGCTTCGCTGCAATGGAGCCGTGGTCTGCATAGTGGGTTGGGGCGTGGAGCTAGCTGACGACGAGATTGTCATTGGCACTATCGCCGAAGTGGTTGCGAGCCTCAGCCAGAAGCTTTTGTCCAAGAGCGGTTCTGTTGCATTCGTCCGTGTACCAGTGCTGGCAGTTACGACGGAAAAGCCTGAAGATTGGAAAGGCCCCAAGGTGAAGGATCTTCCGACTTTGAGTGCATGCTTGGCTGCCTGGGAAAAGGCGGCCCGAGCCGAATTGACCAGCAGCGAGGCCGAGGCTCCGAGAGCGAAGGCGGTCCCCAAGAGCAAAGAGAAGCCGGCGAAGGACCGGTTGAGCCGCGAGCTTGCGGGGCTGGCTGCGCTTTATGGTGGGGCCGGAGAAGACGACGAGGACGACGAGAGCGAAGACGAGTCGCTGACCGGTGCCGGCCCGAGGTTCCTGGCCCCTGGGCAGAGCAGTGCCAAGACCGACAAGAAGAAGAAGGAGAAGAAGGGAGAGAAGGAGGGCGAGCTCGACTTCAAGCGCCTCTTGATCAAAGGCCTGGCCGAAGGCGAGGACTCGAGCAAGATGATGCAGCTTATGATGATGAGTCTTTTGATGGAAAAAGGCGAGAAGAAGAAGCAGAAGGCCCGCTCCTCTCACGATCCCCTTGGTTCGTCCTCCTCCGGAAGTTCGGGTTCCGAAGACGAGGTCGCCGGAAAGGGAATGAAAGCGGTCCTTACCCTTCAGCAGTTGCACCGCCAGGTCCATCGCAAGCCTCATCGAGCATGCCAACAATTCGAGAAGGAAGTGACCGAGGAGCTGGGCATCGTGGAGGGCCAGGCCTGGACCTTGAAGGACTACATCAGAAAGCAGAACTGGGGAAGGTACCAAGGGCTACAGAGGTGCGCGGTGATGGACGTGGCCGCCTACGAGCTCATCCGGGCGGGGAAGCACGACATTGCGGCGGCGCAGCTCATCCAGAACTTGAAGGCGAAGATCCAAGCCGTTCTCCAGAATGGGGATTGGCAGACGGCCTGGTTACTTACGGGGTTACCGGACCCCCTCAGTCGCAAAGAATGGGCAGGCTCGAAGCAGGAGATGGCGGTGGTATCGGGCTACATCGAGGCCTTGGCGAAGCTGAAGAAGCGTGTGGCCCAGGCCGGTGCGAGCGCCGAGGGAGAGGACGAGGACGGGCCGGGAACGGGCCACCACAAGAAGTGATCCCGGAGCAGCGTGTGCATGTGAGAGGGCAACCCTGCTTAAGGCATCCGGCTCTCTTTGGTGGGAATTCAAAGTTTCTTCGTTATGTGCAGTGGTTTGAAGGCGTCCAAGGTACTTTGCTGGAACGGTCCGGCAGTGATATATCTTTTTTCCGTGTGCCCTTCCATATCCGGAGATCCTTGATTGGGAGATTTTGACGGGGGAGGCCGAGGCACAGCAGTGGTGGGCTAAGTCATTCGTGAACACGTTCGTGGCTTGGTCGAACTATGTCGTGCTCGGCTGCCCGCGGCTGGAGGGAGGCGCATGCCAGCCACGAGTGGGCTATCGCAGCATGGAGGATGCTAGATTCTTCTGTGATAGGCTGCTTGGTGAGGTGCAAGAATTTGCTTGTCACGAGCTTGTTGTGGGGGTTTTGGAGTGCGATGGTAAGAGGGCCGTCGTGGAGGAGCTTCTTCAAAACGTCGTGACAGCAGCAGGTGCATGCTACGGTGCTCCAGCCCAGGCTGGATCTTCGGCTACTACGGCGTTGCCGGTTGTGGCTGCTCGCGTGGCTGTGCCGGAGGAGGCTGGAAATGTAGACCCTGTTGATTGGCTCCCGGAGGGCCAGGCGGCCGTGCTGGCGAATTTGCCAGCGCTCAGGCTTCCGGAGGATCAGTGGGATGAGGTGCCCGTTGCGTGCCATCAGGTACCGCTCCAGGAGGAGAAGAATGTGGCCGCAAAGCTTTTGGAGACGGGGATGGCAGTTCTTGTCCCAGAGAGCGACCTGCCGCGTCGAGAGGACGGTCGATTACTAGTTGGGGGTCTTTTTGGGGTTTCCAAGAATGCCTCTGAGGATCGTCTCATTTTTGATCGGCGACCAGAGAACTCTACGATGCCGAGGCTGGATTGGGCTGCCCTGCCGAGTGGTGCATGCTACACGCGTATGCTGCTCCAGCCTGATGAGTTCTTGAGAGGGTCCGGGGATGATTTGCGGAATTATTATTACGCCCTGAAGCTCCCCGCAAACTGGATCAAGTTTAACTCGGTGGGCAGGCGTGTGGACAAGGCCTTGGTTTCAGCTTACGGCGGCGACCCAAACATTCCATATCGGCTTTGCTTTCGGGTCTTGGGGATGGGTGACGTGAACGGGTGTGCCATCGCTCAGGCGACACACGAGGCCGTGCTCAAGTCCGAGGGCGTGCTAGCCTCGAAGGTGACATTGCAGTATGGTGCCCCAGTCCCAAAAACCGACTTGTGGGAGGGGGTCTACTTGGACGACTTGCTGGTGACGCTCCGCAAGAAGGTCCCGGGCATCGTACCACTAGATGGCTCTTTCATACCGCCCGTGCCGCAGGAGGATGACCCCGATGTGAAGGAGATCCGGAGTGCTGAGACAGCATATGATAAGGCCGGACTTAAGCGCGCCATTCACAAGTCCTTCTGCATGCTGTGCCGCTTCCGCGCATGGGGTGCAGAGGTCGATGGCGTGATGGGCAAGGTTGGAGCTCCTTTGCAAGTTCGTCGTGAGGTTTGGAAGTTGCTTTCGTTGATTGTGCGTCTAGGCTGGGCTACGAAAAACATCCTGGAAAAGATTAACGGCTTCGTGTGCTTCATTTTCCAGTACAGGAGGGAGATGTTCAGCTTGCAACACCATATATATATATATATATAAGTATGTCGCCGGCATGCCGCAGGAGCGATGGTGTCGACTACCCGACCATATCCGTGATGAGCTCAGAAGTGTCAGCTTGCATCTTCCGTGGGCGGTTTGGAATATGAGACTGCGACTGTCGTGCTCCCTGTTGGCCACTGATGCGACGCCTACTTCAGGTGGTGCGGTGCGGGCGGACATCACGCCGCAGCTGGCTCAGGAGCTCTGGGTACGGTCTGAAGTTCGGGGTGAAGCTGTCCGGTTGGACCGCAGCGAGGCCGCTCTCTTTTTGGAGGTGGAGCCCGCGGAGCCTTCGAAGTTCGTCAGCGCCTTATCGGAGTGCCTGAGCTGGCGAACCACAGCAGGTTACACTTTCCGCCAGTCTTCTCACATCAACTTACACGAGTTACGTGCATTAAGACGTGAAATCGTGAAACTGGCTTCGAACTTTGACGCGGGTGGCCTCGTGCAGCTGGCCCTTAACGATTCAAGGGTCGCAATTGGAGCGGTGGCAAAGGGGCGATCAAGTAGTTACAAGGTGAATGGGCTATTACGTGCACAGTTGCCCTTTATGATCCTAGGCGATATTGCACTAGCTCTCCTTTGGGTCGAGACGGAAAGCAACCTCGCCGACCATCCGTCTCGTTTCCGCGAACTCCCTCCACCCACGTCACCCCGAGCATGGATGGCTAAGTACGGGGTCCTTCTGAGGGAGAATATGATCGGCATTGAGGTTGTGACGGCCGGATGCGAGGTCACCACGGCGCACAGATCGGAAGGCCTGGAGATGTGTGACCCCTGTGATGTTCGAACTGGCGCCCCGATTGGGGAAGGTGGTCTCGCTGACATGATCGAGGGCGGCCGCCTTGGTTGGATGTGGATTTCTCCTCCTCGCCTTGACTCCCGGGGCTCGGTACGAGCCTGGACACGTGCCCTTGCTTTGGCTGCCCTGATGTATAAGGCTGGAGGCTTCTTCATCATTGAGCACCCGTGCTGCAGTCGAGCCTGGAGCCTCAGAGTGACCGAACTGTTCGAAGGCAGAGAAGTTGCTCGTAAACACCATGTTGTTTGGACTGCGGGAGTGGATCGTCTTGCATCTTCGCGCGAGGGAGTCCCCACCATTCTGTACTCCAATTGCCCTTGGCTGAAGGCGGTAGTGAGTGGGTTGTCGGATCGTCGTGCGTATGGAGACTGGGGCCGAAATCGGCCGGTTGTGGATCGCTCAATCTTCTGTCGAGCCCTAGCTCATGCCTGCCGGGCGTGGGCGAAGGGCGCCTCGGTTGAGTGAGACTACCTTGACCCCCGAGTATCGCCGACATCTCAAGGAAGCAGGGGTGTGCATACTCGGGCTTGCGGCGGCTCTTGGCTGCCCTTTGACCTCTCGTACTCCAGCCAGATTGGTAGATCGCCGGCTGGAGGCAGTTGTGAACAATGCTTATCGGGACGGCGAGAAACTCTACTGGATCACTTTGGGAGTCCTCAGCGTGCAAAGAGCTTTCAAACTTTCGGGAGCGTATCTAAAGTCCACATGGTCGGCAATCCGAGCGTGGCGCCTCCTGCAGCCCATTCAACCTCGCATCCCTATGACTTGGTATGTGTTGCAATGTGTCCTCATCGTTTGCCTTGCTAGAGGGAACACTTTACGAGGGCACGCACGGGAAGAATGGTGGGGGTCTTTGGTGGCTTTTTGGCTGGCCTTTATTGGGATGTTGCGACCAGGAGAAATTGATCAGCTCCGTGTTGGAGATTTCTGCTTCCCTGAGGCGCCTGAGCTTGCAGAAGGGGTCGGGCTGGTGGTTTCGATTCGCCAAGCAAAGACGCGGAGGGTTTGGGCAAAGCAATTCGTCATCATTGATTCCAAAGAGCTTGTGGCGTGGTGTCGGTGGTGGACGGAAGGCAAAGGCCCAAAGCAACGTTTTCTGTCTCCTAGTCGGCGGCGGTGGTCCCAGGTTTTGGTGGAAGCCCTAGAGATCCTGGACTTGAACAGTTGTGGCTTTACGCTGTCTTCGATGCGTGGGGGCGGTGCTTGTCACCACTTCAAAACACAGAAGAACCTCGGGCTGCTGCAGTTTGCGGGAAGGTGGCGTCGGCCGGAAACTTTGCGCCACTACCTTCAGGATGTGCTAGGTATCCACGCCCTGGCCCAAGCACCGTCTACGGCTAGGGAGAAGCTTTTGCAGACTTACGAGCAAGTGCCTTTGCTGCTGACGCCGCCTCCCTTGGCTCGTGATAGGCTTTTGTAGTGGGCTATGTCTGAGCGGAAAACTCTCCACCTCTCGCGCCCGCCTCAGACAAATCGAGGACGAGAGCCAGGCACGCCCGGTGTGGGCAGAGGCGCACGGCGACCGACGGATGCCGAAGCTGACGCTGTAGATCGACCCGAAGTGGTCGCTGCAGCCCTTTATGAGGCCGCGGAGACGGCAGCCAAGGGCTTGAGTCAGCAGTCAGTCGGCAATGGTTTGTCTGGTGCGGAGATGCTCCAGAGCCCGGAGAACCGTGCGGTGGCAGCGCGCTGGCGGTCAGGTGATGCTGGCCGGCGCGTGACAGCAGCTTTGGCGAGGGCCATGCAGGCTCTACAGGAATGGGCTGGGGGTACCCGTGCTCCTTCGCGCGGGTCGCAGCGACCTGCACCGACAGAGCCTTTGCCTGTGCGTATAGGCCTCCTGTGCAGTCTGCGGTTCGAACTTCGAGTACCTGGCTAAACTGGCTGCGCACTCTCCGTTGGAGGACTCTCGCGGTCTTGCTGGCGGTTTTCCTGTTTCCCCGAGTTTGGGCGCTGCTGATCGCCCTGGTGGTGAGACTTCTCAGCCGGGCGCTCCTCAGCTTTGCGGCGCACTTCCTCAGCGAGCTCTACGCGCAGGTGGTCTTTGGCGCTGCAGAAGTGGAACAACAACTGGTGGAGTGGTTGCAGTGGCAACTGGGCTGGCCTTCACCTGCGGCTCCGCCGGCCTACTTGACAAACGGGGCCCCTACGACGCCGCCGCAGGCACCGCCGCCGCCGGGGCCAACTGCCCTCCCTACCCGGCCCATAGACTTGCTCACGCTCTTGCTGCTCGCTCTCCAGCTCCGCCGCCAGCAGCCGCTGGTGGGGGGGGGTGGGGTAGAAGCCAGAGGCTAAATCCTGTGAAGACCGGGGCTCACCTACGAGGCTCGGAGAAGATCCAGGGCCTCTTCGGGGACGCTCCGGAGTATATCTCGATGCTCCGGCTGTCGTTCGTGGAACTTCCAGCCTTCTTTGCAGTGCTCATGCTTGCATATCACGATGGCATTCCTGAGCTGTACTGTCTTTCTAAACTAGTCGGTTGACGTCGCCACTGACGCTGCCACAAAGGCAAGAAAAAGACCGCTCGTGTGCAAGGGCAACCAGGCAGCCGGTGCAGAGTGCTCAGGCAGGAATAAGGGTTCAAGGGTTTAGAGTTCAGGGTTGAGGGGTTGCGGGTATGGGAGGTTAAGGTTCAGAGTAGAATCCCAATCCTGAAACCCTTAAACCGTATATAAAAGCAAAAACCCAGACTTTCCAAATACACGGAGCCCCAGAAGGTATCCCGCTACTCTATGGCAAAGTTTTCGTTTGCTAGCTGCTAGAGCTTCTGCAGCATGAGTTTAGGGCTTGAGGTTGAGGGCAGGGTTTAGGTTCCTGATTATGCATGCCTTCTATATTCTTGTAAACAGGCAGGTTTGGGCTGATTGCATAGCCTACCCAAAACCCCTAAACCCTCATCCCAAAATCCCTAAAGCCAAAACCCCTAAACCCTCATCCCAACATCCCTAAAGCCAAAACCCTAAACCCTCATCCCAACATCCCTAAAGCCAAAACCCCTAAACCCCTAAACCAGGGTTGAGAAAGTTCGGGCGTCCCTCAGATCTCCACTCGTCTGGCTGCAAAAGCATCCGGACACTCCGTAGCTTCCTCCGTTGGCTGTGGAAAGCCCTGAGCACCCAAACCTCGCCGAGACTGGAACACCCCAAACCCCAAACCCCAATCCCTAAGCCCTAAACCCCAACCCCTAAGCCCTAAACCCTAAACCCCAAACCCTAATCCCTAAACCCCAAACCCTAATCCCTAAACCCGTAACCCCAAACCCGAAACCAAAAGCGTGAAGAATCCAGAAGAAAAGTTCCTTCGTAGTCCCGAGCCATGTGTGTTCTTGTATACCGCCAAGCCCTGGTGTTTGACAAGGTGTAGAAGTGCTTGTAATCGTAACCCTTATGGTGCCTATATGCTATTTTACAATATACTTCAAGACCCAGTTCTAGTTGTTGAGGCCTTTAGATTCTGCCGTAAAGCCCGCACCGAGCTGACCCCTAGACCCAACTTTAGGGTTCAAGCTTTGGGGGTATCGATTCCAAACCCCCTAGACACAAGGCCCGTAACCGACGCAAACCCTAAAGTCCTGAAGCTTCAATACAAAGACCGCAACCCAACAGCCCAAAATGTTCAATCCCTCAGAACGGAATCCCTTGAGCTCGGAATCACAAACTGACCCTAAACGCCATCCTAAGCCCTCGACAACAAACCTGCCCTAAGTCCTAAAAGCCCTGGGCCCAATATCCTAAAACCTAAATTCTAAACCCTACAAGCTTTTGCCTTAAGCCCCAAAGCCAAACAATCGTAAACCCCAAACCCTGAAACGCAAACAAAACTTACGTAACCCCATGAAGCCCCGATAAGGCTCTATAAATCCTTGTAAGACCCTTCTAGAATCCTTACAACAGGTTGTAAACCTTGTATTAACGCAGAACCCCGGGTGGAATGCTTCGGCAAGCCCTTTCCTAAACTCTTTGGGCGGCTCCACCGCTGTCAAAGCAGCCGATTCACCCAACAGGGTTGCTCTGGCTTTGGTTTTGGTTTTACAGGGTTTGTGCAGTAGGGTGTTTCTAGGGTGCTTAGAAGGCTTGCTAAGGGCATAGACGCGTTTTCTGGAGTTCTTGAGGGGTTCCCAAAGGGTTTCGATAGGACGGTCTAGGTTCTCGTCAGGTGTAACAATCCTAAACTTCCTGAACTCTAAAACTACTGAAACGCCAAATTTGAAAACCGAAATGAATCATGGTACACAGCGATCCTTGAAGGATCATCTCTCGAAAGAATCTTGAAAGGAATCCGAACAGTACAAAACCAAGGTTGGTTGAACGGGTTTAGAAATTGCTGACGGACCTAATAGAACACCACAAGTAGTAGCATCCTTACCAAGAAAAGGTACTCTTGATGTCAAGAAGCCCAGACATGTAGACCCCATGTAAAGGCATGAATCTCTATACACCGTTAATCGAATCTTTACAGGAACTCGTGCGAGAAGCCGTCAAGGAACCCTTAAGCCTCAAGAACTAGCTTTTATTTTTCTGGAACCCATGTTAAACTCAATAGTACTAATAGAGACAACATGCCCGTCCTGAGATGTTGCAGACTTTCGGGTTTAGCTTGGGTCCATTAAAGTCCAGATGTAGATCAACCCTCGGCCATCGGCAAGAAGCAGTTTCACCGAAGACCGCGACTTCATTGTCTCAGTTGCTCGTGGAATCAGAAGATGTTGCGCGAAGACGGGGACTGTTTGAGTTGGGCCTTTACCGGTTGCTTATAGGGTCTTTTTAATATGGGCTTTAGGGCATGCTTTGCCATATCTATATCATTGAGGCTACGCCTCCCAAACCCGAAACTGTAAACCCTGAGTAACTGGACCACAGACCCTGTGCTCTTATCGAAAACGCCAGCTTCGAAAATTTTTCAAGGGTCCAACACCCTGAAACCGTACACCTGGAAAGGGTGTTTCCGGATTCAGATACAGAGTTCGGAACCTGCCAACCTCGCCATCGCGCCGAAGCCGGAGATTGTGAGCAGACCCCATGGACCCATGCTCTTGGTGGACAAACTCTTGCAGTCTTCATACTGGTGATCACCAAGGTAGAAGCACAAGAAGTCATGGTACTTAGCAGTAGTAGTCGTCATAGTCGTAGTATCAGTAGTAGCAGTACTAGCAGTAGTAGCAGTAGCTGTAGCAGTAGCAGAGGAGTACCCATAAATCCCAAACCCTAAACTATACGAGCAGCAGCAGCAGCAGCAGCAGCAGCAGACGTCGGCCAGAGGGGCCGATATTCCGTCTTGCGCCCAAAGACACCGAACGGCATTGTCAAGGCGGGATTGCAACCCCGTGGAGTGCATGAGTCTTCAGATGAGGGGGTTGAGCTTTTTTTGCTTCAGGGGAGGGGCGGTAGGGCCGGTAGGGCCTAGCGTGTTTTAGGGTTTAGGTCTTGAGGTCTGTGGTCTGGGCCTCATCCGCTGGTGTTCTCGTTGTAGAGCAGGGGAGGGAGGGCAGGGTTTGTCACAGCTGGTCCTTCAAACCAGCGCATTAACATTGCTCGTAAACTATCATCCCCCGGCCCATCACTTGCACCTTTGCGGCTATCATTGTATCACTGCCACCACCGCCACCACCACCGCCGCCGCCGCCGCCGCCACCACCACCACCACCACCACCGCCGCCACGACAAAGGGTTCGAAAAGGGCTTCGGGTCTAGGGCATGGAGGGTGTCTTTCAGGCTTTAGCGGTTATCAGGCTATAGGGGCCTCGAGTTGAGGGTTTCAGGCTTTACAGCCTGCGGCTTCCGGACGCTTGGAGGGATAAAGACAGGGATGTTTCGGGCTTCTGCGGCATTCATTAGGATTTCAGAGGAATGACATTCTCATGTAAAGGGTCCTACACCTACACTACACCTTAAACCCGTGAAGGGTCCCAAAGATAGAGCCACCAAGAGGTGTAGGGTTTAGATACGAACTTGGTCAAAGGTATGCAGCTTTTGGATCCCAAAGTTTTAGGGTTTGGGTTTAGGACTTAGGTCTCCGTCGGAAGTGGGTTAGCTTTGTAGGATAGAGTCCGGCCCTAGACCCAAAAGCCGTTAGTTTTGAGGGTTCAGGGCCTTAGTGCTTTCGGCGTGAGATTCGTGGCTTGGGTGCTATTTGGGGTGTGGGGTATGGGTGCTCTCTCAATGCGCAGCCGCCTTTCTTCCAGCTCATGATTGAGGCGAAGTTTAACCCCTAAGCCTTAAGCCAGCTGCGCCGTGAGACTCACCATTGGTTAGTAGGGAATGGAAGAATGGTAGTAATTGTAGTTACAATTGTACCCCGTTCCTCCATTCCCTACTAACCAAAGGTAAGGAGATTGGTGAGCCTCTCGGCAAGGGCGATGATGCGTTGCTGATGGTTTGCCGCCGCGCTTCTGCACTGCTACTGGGGAGTTCGGCCGTGGTGATTTCCGCGACGGCGTTCTGGAAGGCACAACGCCCGAAACCCACAACTGAGTTGTAAAACCCTTACTAAACCCCTAAACCCGAAGCCCTAAACCCTAAACTCTAAAAATACCCTACGATACTGACAGAAGGCTTCCGTATCTCAGACAGCGTCGCCGGGACCGGGTTCCGCACGAAGTGCAAGCCTGGTAGACAGCTCCAGGATCGACGGCGCCTGGGTCGATCGGTTTAGGGTTTAGGGTTGTTAACGAGCGGAAAGTGCCATACTATAGGGGCCTCAATAATTGCTAACACTATTGTGCGGGGTCCTTCTTATAACTATAGTATAGTGGCCCCCAAAACCCTAGTCCAATTATTCAGGCCCCTACATTAGCTTGAAGGTTTCGGGGGGCTTTCATGGGACTTTGCCGGCAATGAGCCTGGGTCCTGTAGGCTTTGAACGTAAGCTTAGTGTAACGTGCCATGAAAGGGAGCTTTGGTGGTCTGATTATTCTGTCAAGCTTGGCATTTCGGTAGTTCAGGGAAGGTTTGTACATTTTAACAATGGGGTCGTTGTTGCCTGAACTAAGCTCGTTCACAAGAGCCGAGGAAACCCAGGAGCTCCGGCTCCTGCTGACCAGAGCTGCCAGGGACCAAAGTTGATCCTGCACGTCGGGCCAAAGAAAACGGGGACCTCCGCGTTGCAGGACTTCTTGGTGCAAAGGGCGACGTGGCTTGACGAGGTGTGGGCTATCGGCGTAGGCTTTCGTGAAGTGAAGGTGGCTGCCTATGATCTTGCTATACCTCTGTGGGAAGAGAACAGAATTGAGAAGGACAAGTGTGAACCCAAGCAGAATCTGGGTTCTATTCAAGGACGCATTTTGGGTTGCCGTAACAGGGCTTTGCAGCAAACATAGACTTTCCTCGTTGTGGTAGCTTATGTTCCTTGGCAAGAGCTCAGGAATGCAGAGAAACTATCTGAGTCGGTCCAGTACATCAAGAGTCTGCTGCAAAGACGGTCCCTGGTGGTCGTGTCCAGTGAGGCGTTTGGATCGCCTTCGTTCACCAACATATCTTGGCAGTGCTTTAAGTCCCTCATCGAACCAGGTGCCTGTCTGTCTGTGGTGGTTGTACACCGGAGTGCTGCCACGTGGATGGCATCTGTATGGTCGGCAAGCAACAAACTCTTGAGCGCCTGGTCCGGAAGGTCCTCACTAGGGAGCCATAGACAACAGAGCTACAGTATTACAGTCACTCAGGGTTCATACTGTGAGGCTCCTCTTCGGGACATATGGACAGTAACCTGATATAGGGGCCTGAATAACTACCTGCACTATTCTGGGAGTTCCTTATTATCAAAATAGTATTACATACCCGAAGCCTGTTCTAACTACTACATATTATCTCAGGCGCCCCACAAAGCTTTGAGTCCTTTATGGCATCCTACGCTGGTCAGCGCCGGACAGACGCGCAGGGAGATTCGGACCCACAGCTGCAGGTGCTCAACTTGCTGAACCAGGAATTCCCGGGAAGGGTGGATGCCGTATCATACGATTCCAGGCCCCGCAGTAGCATCCTTTTGACCTTTTCTTAGTTTGGGGTCTCCGTATTCAAATGTTAACACCGAGTAGTATGTGAACGGCTACCGTCATGTGTAGCGGCTTGCTGGGTTACTTAGAGGATATTATAGACTCTAGCCTTACCCCACGGCCCCAGTCTGTTTCTTAAGGACCGGTATGTTACTAGAGAACCAAGGTTTACTTGCAGGATGTAAGTAGGCTTCAGCCCTAAACCCTAAATCCCAAGCCCTCAACCATGTATTGTATAGCATATACTACTTCTTCTAGCGAGCCCAAGGATTACTTGGAGGAGGTCAACATGAGCCTTGCCGCTTTCTTCATCTGCAACGCTACTCTCCGACTGGCTGGGGAGCACTGGCATCGGTGCCAGAAATCTGCTCCTCGGCTCCTCCAAGGCTCCCTTAAAGGCTCCCTTAAAGATCCCTTAAAGGGTCCCTTAAGGGATCCCTTTAATTACAGGAATCCTTAAAGATCCCTTAAAGGATCCAACATAGGGATCCCTTTAAAGGAATCCTTGAAGATCCGTGAAAGGATCCTTTTAGGCTTCCTTTCATGTTGGGTTTAGGGATTTTAGGGTTTGGGTTCGTTGAGAGCTACTGATTTGGGACTTGGGGGGTGGGGGCCGGGAGTACGGATCTGGGGCTTTTCGTAAAATTCTGGAGTCTTGTTTTTGGGGGGTCGTACATAAGCGACCCTACAGGGAAGGATCCGGTTTGTAAGGACCCCTTGAAGGGGCTGCCCACACCTGTGAAGGAAGCATTGCAGAGACAAGTGTACACCTAAGCATACCCTAAACCCCAAACCACCAAACCCTGGCCGCCTTTGAGCAGAGACCTGGTAAATCAGCTGGAAAAAGGAACCACCCCGAAAATAAACATCCTAAACCCCAGACCACTAAATCAAAACCCTAGCCCACAAACCCTACAAGCCTCCAAACCCCCGACGGCTCATTATTTCAGAACTCAGGTGCCCCGCGCAAGAGTTGTGAACAAGTCCCCACTTCATGCAGCCGTCGACGTGGTGCGTCTGGCGCGGATTTACTATTCGGCTAGGCCTGGCGCCGATAACCCTCACAAAGAGCTAAAGTCCCTTTGTCGTGTGAGTGATTCTGTAATGGCCGGATTGCAACACTTTGTCGCTCCCCTTATGCTACCAGTTTGGGGTAAAAGCATGTCAGTGTATCATATCTTTACCTCAAGCCCTCAACCCCCAAAGTGGAGCCAGAATTCTCAATGGCCCCTCTGCAATACCAGCTGCACAGTCTGAAAAACCGAGAACAACCCCTAAGCCCTAAACCTATTGTAAACTCTGTAAGCGCTTGTCATGCAATCCGTGAAATGTCTTATTGAAAAGCACCTAAACCCTAAAGCGAACGCCAAAAAACCCTATCTGCCCTGTGAAGCCCTAATAACGAATAGCAGCCCTAGTCATCGTCATCATCATCATCATCATGATCATGCTACTGCTGCTACTGCTGCTGCTGCTGCTGCTGCTACTACTACTACTACTACTACTAGTAGTACGAATAACAGTAATCAAAATCATAGTGATAAGAACACTGACAATAGTCACAATAATAGTAATGATACTATTAACACTACGACTAGCCAATGCCAGAAATATAAAATTGTGCTACTAGCAATAATAGTGGTGATGAGGGTGATGGTGATAGTATTTCAACATTGACAATTGATGATACTAGGTATAGTAGTAGTAGTAGTAGTAGTAGTAGTAGTAGTAGTAGTAGTAGTAGTAGTAGTAGTAGTAGTAGCAGTAGCAGTAGTAGTAGTAGTAGTAGTCGTCGTCGTCGTAGTAGTAGCAATAGTAATTGCAAGAGTAAGAGTAAGAGTAATACTGATAGTAATCGTCATAGTAACTGACATAGTACTGACGGTAATCGTAATAGTCATAGTAACAGTAATAGTAACGGTAACGGTTATGGTGATGTTATTGAGAACGTTACGGGAAATGGTATTGGTGAACAGTACTAGTACCGGTAGTAGCAGTAGCACTGGCGCAAGCAGCAGTAGCAGTAGTAGTAGTAGTAGTAGTAGTAGTAGTAGTAGTAGTAGTAGTAGCAGCAGCAGCAGTAGTCGTAGAGGAGCAGGTGTAGAAGTAGGAGTAGGAGTGGGAGCAAGAGTAGGAGTAAGAGTACTAGTACTAGTACTAGGACTAGTACTACTAATAGCAATGATAATCACCGTAATCACCATCATAGCAACAGTAACATCAACAATAGTGACACATTATATGGTAACGCTGCGCGAAACCCATAGTCATCAACCCTAAACCGATACAGCGGTTTCCACCTGGTCCAGGCAGACGGCCCTCAACAAAACGAGCCCCTGCAAGCCCTGGCCGATCGTCGACCTGCGGAGACGCGGTGCTCCCTCGAACCCGGATGGGGCGCCTCGGATCCTTCTGTTCAATCACAAATAAGTGAGCAAGCATAGTGAAAAAATAGACAGCCAAGTATGACTATGCATATGTCTGTATATGTATCTATCTTTTGGCTTCTGAATGTGTTTTTGTATAGGCCGTTTTGGTGCGGTTGTGTGGCTTTAGAGATTGCCGGCTCAAGGTTTCGGGTGAAGCTTCATTTGAGGCCTTGGGTAATTAGGGAAACCCTAAACCCCTTGACCCTAAACCGTGATATGCTGCTGGGTTGGGGCTACACGCCATGATGGCTCACTTATGCCCGAAAGAACCCTGAGCCCCAAAAACCTGACCCCCTGAGCCCTGAGCCCTAAAGTTTTGAAGTTGCATCGCAGGGCTTCTTCCCGTTCGGGGCCCAAGTCTTAGGGTTTAGGGTTTAGAGTTTAAAACGTGGCTTTGGGGTTTGGGGTTTCGGGCTTTCGGGTTCCCTGGAATGTGCCTACACCGCGTGAATGTCCCGTGTTGGTTTCTGGGATGCTTGTGCTACATGCGTGATGTTGCTTGTTCTACTTTTTCAGAGTTTTGTCCTCTTAGAGACATGAAACAGTACGCATGGCAAAATCCCGATAAAACGACGCGAATACTCGCATTAAATCACCATAAACACCTCGATGCATCCTGAAAGCAACTCTCTTAGTCCTCATAAGAAGCTCATATGAAGCCTTGTGAGAGCTCTGTTGCAACACGCTGAACCCTTAATAAACCCTAAACCTTAAAGCAACACCGCAACTTCCAGGTTTTGATTGCTTACAACAACCCTGCTGTTGCCGACATTGCAGCTGGACAACGCCAGGGTTGCTTTTGGGGTTAGGGTTTAGAGAACTTGAGGTTGGGATTTCGCGAGTTTAAACACCTCAGATATAGAACTTCGGTCTAGGGCTTAGGCTGGTTTGGGGTACTGGTTACAAATCTGTGACCGGCTGACAGACCTCCCACAAGGCCCACCTACCCGACAGAGTGAGCAGGGTGGAGGGAACCCTAAACCCTAAACTCCTTAACCCCTGAAACCTAAACCTTAAATCTTAAACCCTAAACCCTGAACCCTAAATTCCCAGCGGGCCTGCTGGGGCCGTTCCCACCAGCTGCACAGATTTTGGCACAGACCCATCGACCAACAGTGAAGACGAATCGAGAGGCTAGGAAGGCGGAAGAGGCTTAGGATAACTTCGGCAGCGATTTGCATGAGAAGGTGAGCAACCTTGCGCAAGCTCGGGGACGTGTGGGATTCAAGCGGCTATGGACATGTTGCAACCTGGAGCTGCTTCTGCTTCCCTGCAGCTCGGAGCGACCTCTTCAAGCCGTCCAGATCCCAAGCACAATGATCCAAGCCAAGTCCCGAAGCTCATCGGAGTCGCGAAAGCCTGTGAGAGACTCCAAGACCCTTCTGTCTTGCGTGCTGCGCTTGAAGGCGAGTGCGAGTGCATCAGGTTCGCAAAGCATTACGAATGTCCCGCAGGATCCCATCAAGAGCGAGCTCTAAACCCTAACAGGACATGGTTTGGGTGGCTGTGGTATCAGCACCGCAGGTGGATAAAAGAACTTCCGGTTTCACCAAGTCCTGTCCCAATGCACAAGGAAGGTCGCTTGACGCAAAATGTGCCGCCACCCACAAACCCTGGTGTGAGGTGGTGCTATCTCAGCATGGATCAGCGGCCGTTGCGCAAGAAGACACAACGAACCCAAAACCTTCAACCTTAAACTGTGTTCAGTCATCACTCTGTTTCAGTTCTGGGGTTTAGGATTAGGACCTGGGATTGCGAGATTTCGGGAGTAGGGTTTAGGATTTAGGGTTGTGGGGTTTTGTTGTTTTATTTCTTTTTCTGCACAGGATTAGTACTGTCATGCAGTGAAGTGAAGAAGAAGTTGTGGGTTTAGGGTTGAGGGGTTTAGTGTTTAGGGTTGGATTGTTTGTATAGTTTGCTTTCGGCTTGTTCGCGATAGCAGTGACTGCTGGTAGCAGCGTAGTAAAGAGCTAATCCTAAACCCTCAGCGCTCAACTAACCAGGCAAGGGAATCCGGCATCCTGAAGCAGCACACATCCCTCGAAACAACTCCCAAATCCACATCTCACAGCGCTGTTCTCTGAACCGTACAGCCCGAGACCCCAAACCCTGAAAGTAAAGTTGCAATCTCAAATCTTCAAGTTCAATCCCGTACTCCAGAGTCCCAGGCGAAGCAGCTCCCCCAAAAGTGCGAAATTCTGGATGGGCTTTTTGAAAGCGTCACGCAGAAGTGGTTTGCTCGAACAGGACTGCGAGATTCTTGTTTATCCCGAAATAAAGAGTTTGGCCATAGTCGCGCCAAGCCGCAAACAGTTCCCTGGTGTTCTAATGAATTCCCTTTACTACAACCAAACAGTGGAAAAAAGGGTACCGTTATTGTTGCTTTGCTGCTGAGCCTAGTTAAAATTTCTTAGCCAATTCCTTAAGACACCTGAACTGCTTCACGGCTGAGAAGCCTCTGCCCCCTCTCGTTCAGGGCTTTTTCAGCTTGCTGGCCTAAGGGTTTAGGGATGCTGTAGGGGATCTGTAGGGTTTAGGATTTTTGAGTTTTAGTTTTCGGAGTTTTGGGTTCAGGAGCATCCGGGAAGTCTTGAAACAGGTCTTGCCCGACACCGAGATATGGTAAAATACGCTTATTCGGGTTGGCTGGTCTAGATAAACCACATACTGGGTCTCGGATGAAAGGTTATGACGGTTGTGCGAGAATCTTACCTCCTGTGGAAATTCGATCCTGCTTCGCTGTTAACCCTACACGCGAAGCCCGAGACAGCCCCAAGCCCAAGACCGGCCAGAACATTCTGCAGGAGCACAGAGGCCGCGAAATGGTTCAAAACCGATCTGTACTGTAGACATCACTGCGATGAGACCGGAGCATTGGCAACTACTGGGCAGAGTGGTGCCAGACTGTCAAGAGTAATGAGACGAAGCAGCTCGGAAGCATGCCCAGAAGCCAGGCAGCCCATTCCAGCAACCGTTGTCCTTGAATATATGCTTCTTGTACTTGCGGTCTGTGTTCTCGTGAAACCGTAAGCCCGGCAAAAGCTCTAATCCCGAATGTTAAGAACGCCCAAACCTAAACATTGAACCGTAAACTTTGAGCTGAAAACCTTATACACAATCATAAAGATCAGTAGTGTGGATACAGGGAGAAAGCCAGATGGGTACTGTGCTAGCTAGATGCATAGACAGAGCACGATGCCAAGGAACATTTCGAGGAGTCACGGCTGGAGGCATGCCGGGACGTTTAGGGATTTAGGGCTTAGGATTTAGGGGCTGGGGGGTTAGGGTATAGGGTTCAGGGTTAAGCCTCTTACTGAGGCCGTCGTCTTTTTCGCGCACTAGAAGTTAGCCGCAAGATGGCAGCTACAGTTCCACACCTGTCTCTCTCGTGTCGTGATAGTGGCCATGGAGCATGTGCTCCTAGCCAACTCTTGTAAAACACGGGTCGGAATAATGCCGTGTCCCGATAATTAATGGTGCCATAATCACATACTCACACGCCCGATTCGACTTGTTCAGGCCCCGACGGTGCCGATGGCGCTCGTCTGCGCTGGACGAAGCCCGCTATCACAACCGCACCTTCAACTCATAGTTGCACTCAGAGGTCGAGAAGTTGCGGGTTGAGCATGGCCCGAGTTCCGAGTGATGGCCGGCCCGAAGGACCACAATAAACCCAAGCCCAAAAGCCCCAGATAGCTTAGGTCAGGGCTCTGTGCAGTGCGACATAAAGACCCGACTGCCAGCACGGAAGAGCATCACGTCAAAAAGAGGTTACCTTGATGAGGCGTCTGATGCCTTTTTCTTGCATGGGTTGCTGGAGATGGAGCTATGGGAAGGGAAGGGTATTGCCAGCTCAATCAGGGCCTAGAGGCCTTTTCGCAATTGTTTTGCTGACCTTTCGACCTTACATTCCCTAAGTTACCCACCAACTGCAAATTTCCAACCTGAAGCACCCGAAAACCCTTAACGATTAAACCCTGGCGCCCTGAATTAAACCCTGTAGCAATGCATACACTCCTAGAACCCAGAAATTCAGAAACCCTAAACTCTAAACCCCCAAACCCTAAACTTACCTTTGGTTAGTCAGTAGGGAATGGAAGAATGGTAGTAATGGCATTCAAAATTGTACACCATATCTCCATTCCCTACTAACCAAAGGTAAGTAAAACGGCGAGATTTCGAACCCGTCGGATCTGTCCTCGAGCCTCGAGAATCGGCGAGTTAATGTGTGGGCCTTGATATTTAAGACATAGGAGTTTCCGAACATAGGGGTACCTTATTTGGGATCCTTATAATAAGAATCTATGATATTAGGGTCCCCCCATTTTCGGAAACCTTCAAAAAGGGTTCCCTTTAAAGGTCTATATAAGGGGTTACTCTAAGGGGTATTGTGGGGGTTATCAGAACAGGAATTTGGGGCAATTATTAAGACCCCGTTGTTTCCCAAGATCTGGGTTCTACTTTGGGTCCTGCTCCCACTCCGCAACAGTTGAAAACCACTTTGTAGTATAGATATTATAAGGCCCCAGTAATGGCCCTATTACAGACTGTTACTGTATGGGGGCAGTACCCAAGCAGTTCTACAATAAGAGTCTACCATAAGAGTCTAGGTTGGAGGGTGGAGGGTTTGAGGTTTGGGGTGGAGTGTTTACGGATTAGGGTGTAGAATCACAGTATGCTTGGACCAAGGGACAGAGTAGGTGGGTCAAATCAGGGTCAAAGGTACAACACTCAAAGACAACACTTTTAAGTCTAACGGTCTAGCGTACTTGCCTGGAAACCCTAAACCAAAAACCCTGAGCCCCAAAGGCAAAACCCAAAACCGCGCCTCTGACCCTTCAGGAAAGGTTTGCATCAAGGAGGCTTTGAGGAGTTTTTGCAAGTTTTAGGTTAGAGGATCTTGGGCAGGTTGTTGGGACATTTTCTCCTTTCCCTCAGTCTGTATTAGGGTTTGGGTCTTAGGGTTAGTGCGCGTATTGAAGGGTCTTCTTCGCAAGTATTGCAGAGGGCTCCAAGGGTTAACCACAGGATTACAGACACTGTTTGGCTCTCAATCAAACTAGGTGAGCCCGAATTACAATTGCTTTTGGGGACTGTTGAAATCTACACCTAGCAAACGACAGTTTTCAGTCTGGGTGCTCAAGCTCCAAATCTGTCAATTCCAGTGAGTGGCGCAGTGAAGGGTGAAAACCTGTTCGGTGAACTTCGTGAACATTCCTCGAGCTCCTGCACAAGAGTATGTACCCAGTCACGTACTGAACCCTTAACCTGAAGTAGACTCTTGAAAAAATGCTTCCGGGGCATCCTTTAGCGGTTGTCCCCTTTGCAACCGTAACCCAGAAAGCCCAACATGCTTGAATTCAGGAATGTGCCTGAAATTATAAAGTGATCCTATGCCCCAAAGCCGTAGACCCGATGGTTAACATGTCTTGGGCTCACGGATACTGCCTGGCATTGGGGGTCTTCAATGTCTTTACTATCAGCTTCAAGCGTGCAGATAGCCGTTCCGCATTGCCTTCATCACAGCTCTGTGGCAACAAGGCCTTCCAGCACATCTCAATGGGGCCTCTCATGAATTTGAATTAGGCTTGCCTCATGTCACAATCTTCATACTCAGAATCTTACTATTTAGGGTTATTGAGGTCACTAACTTTCCGAAACACCCAACATGAAGACTCCGTGTTCTTGTCCCCTCCCGCCAGGACCCCGAACTGCAAAACCCTATGGAGGACCCTTGAGCAAGCATTTGTAGCATCCTCATGACACCCTGGGAGCCGAAGCCCTAGGATTGGAGATGGCAGCTTGCACTTGCGCTGCTCACCCTGCCTCTGATGGGTAGATGACGAGATTAGTGGCTTTCATCTTGCTGTGGTATTCATCCAATGTCTTATACAACGTGGTCAACAGGCGTCTACTGCAGGAAATCCATGCACCGATTCGCATAGCTTGGGTTCAGCTGGTCACTTTCTCCGGTCTGGCATATATTGCGTGGCAAACGTCTGTGCTGCCCAAACCAACAGCACTACTGCAGAATTTGACAGCATTCGTGCCGATCGGTATTGCTTATGCTGGTGGTCAAATGGCCACCGTGTTGTCCCTGGCTTACGGCGATGTGTCCCTGACCCACATGGTGAAATCACTGGAGCCTGTTGCGAATGCTGTGCTGTCTGTGATAGTTTTGGGAGAGTGCCTCCATCCTATCAGGTACGCAGCCTTGGCTGCAATAATGACGGGTGTGGCCATGTGCTCTGCAGACCATGTGGCAGTCCAGAGCACAACGGTGACATGTGCAGCCATTTCAAACGTCTGCTTTGCGCTTAGAAATGTTTTGGCGAAGAAGATCGGGGATGGCGGCCACAGTGGGCACGAAAGCCCGGCAGTTGTGAAGACCAACCAGCTGGCCATCTTGACCACGGTGTCTGCATTGGTATCAGCACCGGTGGCCATAGTGGAGCAACTGTTGGACAAAGAACACACATGGATCGGTAGCTGGGGGCACCCTTGGACGCTCTTGAAGGCAAGCTTCTTATTCGTAGCATATCAGGTCTCTTCCTTTTGGGTCCTGTCTTGCGTACAACCAATCACACACAGCGTGCTGAATACATTCAAGAGAGTGGTTGTGATTGCCACCGCGTGCGTTTATTTGCTGGAGCCGATCTCCTCTATGCAAATGATCCTGGGTCCTTGTTGAGGAACTTAGTTTAAGTCACCATAGTATTCCTAAACCCTAAACCCTACGGGCCTTAAGCCCTACCCCCTAACCCCAACCCCAAGCTTTAACTTTAACCAATAACTGCAACAAGAAACCAGGATCGGCGTGGCTGTTGCCACCTTGGGAGCATGGGGTTATGTCTGCCCGGAAAGTGGTTTCCGCGTTCCGTTTCTGGGCTCTTCTGAAGAGATTTAAGTTGGGGTGTAGGGCTTAGGGTTCTGGGGGGTTTAGGGGTTTAGGGTTACCATATCATTTACCATAGATACCTATAGTATGATGGCTTAACTTACATCCAGTTACCATAATCAGGATACCATAATGTCTACTGTAGATCCCTAGTATGGGAGCTTAATTTAAGTTCAGGGTTCAGCGCCACCACGTGATCTACTATGCGTCCCTAGTACCTAGTATGGGAACCTTACCAGGATTAAACCCTAAACCCTAAAACCCTGAACCCCAACCCCTAAACCCTACACCCTGAACCCTAAACCCCAAACCCTAACCCCTAAAGCCCTAAAGCCCTAAAGCCCCCAAGCCCTCAACCCTGAACCCTAAAACCCTGATCCCTAAACCCTGAAGCCCACGAGAGCCCCAGGTTTCGGAGGTGCATTGCTGGCCCCCTGGGGCTGAGCCTCGCGTGCACGTGCGCAGGGATGCTTTCAGGAAGGCGTCTTCCGTTCCTTTGTCGCAGTTGGGTAGCATGTTCACATCTTTATGATTTTTACACTGTCTTTAAGAGTTTGGTTTTGAGGTTTTAGGATTTTAGGGTTTCAGGGTGTCGGTTACTTTGTCATAGTAGGGTAACATTTACATTTCTATGAGTACTTAAGCCCAAGAAGGAATAGACATGGTCATCTTTAATACTGTCCCTACCATGGACCAGGTTCAGCTTTGACGTTGCAGAGGTTCAGAAGCCGATCACCGTCCTGTTTGGCGCAATCGGTCGGCATAACTTTGGGGATTTGCTCATGGCACACGTGGCAGCCGAGCTGCTGCGCCAGCATTGTGCTGTCGAGGAAGGAGACCTGGTTTTCGCCGATCTTTTGGCAAGGGACTTGCGGACATGGGGCGGGCACAACGTGCAGAGTGTGGTGTCCTTCGCCGAGCCAAAGTTTTCCAACACAACCGTCAACGTTGTTGCTCTTGGTGGAGACATAGTCAAACTAGGGTTTATCTTTTTTGCCTTTGCTCGTGGTTTAGATTTCACAACTTCTCTAAGTGGGATCCTTCTCCTTTCTTCTCCGTAAGCGACCCAGGAGAGACGGCGTCTTGTTCAGTCGGGGGTGCGCTTGACATGCTGGTGAATGGGAACGGAGCTGAGCAGATGGCGCTGGATGAGCTGACCATGAGCGCATCGCACTGGATCAAGTTCAAGGCAGAAGCACCGCTTGCGTACATCCTGCCGAAGAGCTTCTTCAAGAAGCCTGGCAAGTTTATTACAAACACAATCGGAGGCATACCCACTGGCGACACTGACCCTCTCCTGCAGGAGTACGATTTCTGCAGCACCCGGAATCCGATCGGCAACATGACATGGAAGCACTTGGCCCCTGACAGCGTCGTAGTGCTTCGCAGCTTGTTTGACGGCCGGATTTCCTCGCGTGCTCCAGTCACTCCTAGGCCGTACATTGCTGTACAAATGAAGCAGATGGGCTTTCCGACAAACTTTGCCAGTGAGCTTGCCTGGTCGGCGGGGGAGCTGTCTGCCGACCTCATCTTTTTTCGCGCAGGTGCGGCTTTCGGACATGACAGCTGGAGCAACTGCAAAATCTGGCGTGGCAGGTGAGTGCCATAAATGCTAGTCTGAACGTATACGTCTTCGAGGGGCTGAACATTTGGGACATCTGCGCCATCATCTCCAAAGCCCTTATCGTGGTTGCAACCAGTCTTCACTGCCGAATCGTTTCTTTCGCATATTCAGTGCCGAGGGTCTCGTGGCGAGGCAGCTCCAAGGTGGATCTCTTCATAGATCTTTGGGACACTGGGCCCCCGTGTTGTTTTTAGGGTTTCCGTTGCAAACAAGTTAATGCCAGGAGAAGGGGTAACTGCGCTCCTTATTCAGGGGACACTGGGGAACCAAGGACAAAGATGTACAAGACTTCAGCTACACAAATGGAAGCGATGTGCGGAGTGTGGTCACGCTTGCCCTGACTGGGTCAAACATGGCCCGCTTCAAGAACCAGACGGTTGCAAACAAGACTGCGGATGTGTACAGGTCAACTTTTCTTGGCTGGGCGCGCTTGCTTGCTCCAGCTTGTCACTTGTGAGCTCGACAAATGGGACAACCTCGGTAAGCCTTGCCAATGTGCAAGGACAAAGCGCTGAGAACCCGGATCGGTCTTCATGGACACAGATCGTGGCCACACAGAATTAGAAGAAGGTGACCATGCCGTTGCATGTGTGGGTTTGTTCAGGTCAGTTTTAATGCACTGGACCGCACCACTCCACAAGCATCTGCCTGACAGTCGGTTATTTTGGTGGTTGAGACCGTAAATCCTGAGTTTCATCTGAATCAACGGGTATACCTCAAATCATATTCAGGATCCTTGCATAACCTGCTTAATTGACGGGCATTGGAAGGGTCTTTGGGGATGTACGACGATAGGAAAACTGGATGAAGAAGCGAATGTTGCCATGAGCCACCAGCCAAGAAGACGCAGCTGGCAAATACACCGCTAGAAGAATTGTAAATGCTTTTCCAATCTCATATAAGCTTAGGTATAAAATGTTCAACCTAAACCCGAAACCTTATCCCCCTAAACCCTAGACATTCGCAACCCTGAGGAACTCATAAACCCTCACTTGGCTTACCAGCTTCATGTCTCCTGGGTCAGCGGAACCTAATCTACAACCCAAACTCGCAAGTCTTAAACCCCAGCCCCCGCCCCCAACACCCTTATAGCGTGAGCCATAAAACGATGCCGCTAAAACCCATCAGTTGAAACAACAAACCCGAACCCAAAAGCTCCCCCGCGGACGAAACGAACAACTCCACAGCCACGAAAGACATACCTAAAGCCCAAACCCGACGAGCCTAGCGAGGCGGTGTTCCTTCTGTGTGCTTGTCGCCGGGATGAAGGCTGCAGGATCCGTGGAGGGCCATTTTTGTTAAAGGGCTAGGAACAGTAGGACCCTCCAAGGGCCCTTTCTTGGAGTAATTCTGGCCCTCATAGAACAGTGCGTATTTGGGGTATATTGGGGGGTAGTGTGGGGGTCCAGGTAGTAAGGGTCTAGGGTTTAGGGTTTGGGGTACTACTCCATTACGGTCCCCTCTGTAGATGTGGCATGATATTCTTGTGATGGGGGCTTGGGACCTGCCTGTGATCCAGAAATTGGTTTAGAGGTAGGATTTACAGGGTTCATAAGTTTCATGGTGATTTATAGGATTTGCAGGGCTAGAGTATGGACTTGTCGTTGTATAGTCTGTAGGGTTTATAGGGTTTGGAGGGTTTTCAGGGATTGTAGGGTATAGGGTTTCGAAATATAGAAGAAGCACCCGAAACTCCGCAGTGTAAGCTCTAAGCCCTCAACCTTGAAACCCTTACATCTTCCCCAAGCCCTGAACCCCTGAACCCGACTTGCTGTTGCTCATCCTGGGTTCTCACGGAGACATGACTACCCGAAAAGCAGTGTTGGTGCTACGCCACTGCTGACGGCGATGGAAACGATGATAAAGAGACACGTGGTGGCCGTAAAAGATGCCGGCAATGATAATGGTGATGTTGAGTATGAAGGATTGACTCCCTGATTGGCTTTGACGGTTCAGGGCCATCTCAATCTTGTCCGGCTACTCGAACATCTCCAAAGGGCACTTGCTCTATCGCAGCAGGAAAATCCAAAACCACATATCCACCAAGCTTGAATCTTAGACCCTCGGCCCCAAACCCCCCCAAAATGCTGTGATCCCGCCCGACCCGAAACAAAAGACAAAGAACCCAAAGAACCACCAAAGGTAACCTCCAATGCCCTAAGCGCTAAACTCTATCAATCCGCATAGGCCCAAAAGGGTCTAGGTCCCTATACCCCAAAACCCTAAGCCTTAGCCGTACCTTTCTCTCGTCGGAGCGTGCCTATAGGACCACAGCTACGGTTACCTCCCTTTAGAAAGGGTTTTAGGGTTTGCTGGTTTGGTGTTCAGGGCTTCTCTGGTTTTAGACGGCCCTGAGTAAGGCACTCGTAACCCCAGGTACAAAACACTCCACCCTAGTCTAAGCCTTAGACTCCAAGACTTTCAATACTCCCGTCTCGCTTACCCCCCCCTTATCCTCCCAAACTGGGGAGGATAGTGGGATGCTTGAGCTGCATGGATTCAGCCTCCCGGCAATGGCGATGAAGCGTTGCTGATGGCTTCCTGCCGCCATGCTGGACTACTGTTGGGTGCCTTGGCAGTGGCGATTTCCGCCGCAGCATTCTGGAAGGCTTCCGTGTCTGAGACATCAGCTGGACTGGGTTCCGCCCGCAGTGAAAGCATGGCATATGATGGATCCTTCTCAGCTCCCACTCCAGCTCTTGCGGTCCAGAGCTGCCAGGGGCCGAGGTTGATCCTGCACGTCGGACCCGGCAAAACGGGGACGTCTGCATTGCAGGACTTCTTGGTGCAAAGGGCGACGTGGCTTGACGAGGAGTGGGGAATCGGCGTAGGCTTTCGTCAATCGAAGGCCGCTGCCTATGATCTCGCTATACCCCTTTGCGAAGAGAACAGAATTGAGAAGGACAAGTGCGAACCCAAGCAGAATCTCGGTTCTCGTTCACATGTTCTTGCCCTGCTATAGTAGCTTTAAGTGAAGTCCATCCAAATCCTAAACTCTCAATCTGAAAATGAAGTTGCTCAACCAGAGCCCAGGAATGCAGAGAAGGTCACGGAGTCTGTTCAGTACATCAAGAGCAAGCTGCAGAAGCGATCCCTCGTGGTCCTGTCCTTAGTGGGTTTAATGTTTAGGGTGTAGGGTGCTCGTTTTCGGGTGTTCAGCACAAGTCTGCGTGTTTTTTGTGTTGTTTTCGGGTGGTTTTGAAAGTGTTAGGAACTCTTTCCCTTAAGTGAATAACCATAAGCTGCAGCTACAAGACCTGAATAGATTTTCCTGATGCCGTTTATGACCCCTACACGCTACGCACGCAGGTCGTGTCCAGTGAGGAGTTTGCTCGACCTACGTTTTCCAGCACATCCTGGCAGTGCTTCAAGTCCCTCGTAGGATCAGGGGCCTGCTTCAGTGTGGTGGTGGTGCACCGGAATGCCGCAGCATGGATGGCATCGGTATGGGCGGAAACTAGCAAGCTTCACAGCCACTTGGCTCGAGTCTTTCGTGTCCTTTTTTCCTATAACCCCTACAGATACATGGGTCTGCGGGGGTCTTGTTATGACTTTTCGTAACTTTTCTTCCCCTAACAGTTGGTTTTTGTCTTGATCCTCCTGCTTCTTGTTCTTGCTGCTCTTCCTCTTCTTCTGTTATGTCTTCTTCTTCTCCTGCATCTTCCTGTTTACATGGGAGCCATCGACGGCCGAGGTGCGCCGAAAAGCTTCGAGTCCTTTATGGCGCTCTTCGCCGGCCAGCGCGGGGCGGACGTGCGGGGAGATTCCGACCCGCAGCTGCAGATCCTCAACAAACTGAACGAGGAGTTCCCGGGAAGGGTGGATGCCGTGTCATACGATGCTTGGTCCGTCTGGGTCTCGTTTTTTTGATCGTTTTGGGCTTGAGCCTTTAGAGAGGTCCCCCAGGTAGTACTACGTTACAAGTTTTGAAAGTCTTGGTGCTAGTTATTAAGGCCCTTTTTTGTGACGTGGGAGCCAAGGACTATTTGGAGGAGGTGGGCAGTAGCCTTTCCGCCTTCTTCATCTGCAACGCCACTCTCCGGCTGACTGGCGAGCCATGGCGTCGGTGCACGGAATCTGTTCCGAGTCCGAAGACGGTCAACAAATCCCCACTTCATGCAGCCATCGATGTGGTGCGGCTGGCACGGACATACTACACAGCCAGGCTTGGGCATGAAATCATCAACACATTGCTTAGATTTCGCTTGTAGCGGAAGAAGTAGCAGCCCATTCCTCTCCCTTCTGAGGTGAGCACCGGACGAGACACTTGCGAAGCCTAAACCATCCTAAACCAAATTTACGGCTTCGGGTTTATCGTCCTCAGAGGAGCTCGCTTCAAGTTTGTTGCTTTTACGGCAGTGACAGACAATACTAAACCCCAAACCGCTATCGTGAACCACCGACATGGACCATAATTCACAAAGACCCCTTCAAGCAATTACAGAAGCCATCTCCAAGCTTCCTAAGCGGTTCAGAGTTCAGGGCTTAGGATTTTGGTGCAACCTTGAAACCCCTAAACCTAAAAAAACTCTCGTAGCCCGAGGCGCGCAGCCCTGAACGCAACGGCTCCCTGCCAGCCTTGGCCAGTGGTGGACCTGCGGAAACGCGGAGTTCAGTCGAACCCAGCAGGGGTGCCTCGGGTGCCTTTGGGGTCTGGGGGTTTAGCGAGGGTTCAGGCTTTTGGGTTTAGGAATTTAGGGGTTTTCGGTTTAAGTAGGGTTGAGGGTAAGGTTTTTGGGCTTGAGGCTTTCAGGTTCAAGGGTTCTCGGTTTTTTGTGGGGTTTGGGGGTTTTTGGGGTCTGGGGCAAAGGCATTGCAAGTCTGAGGTTGAGTTCTGGTGCAGGTTCACGGGCAGTAAGAGTTGCAAGCGTTAAGTGTTTTAGGGTTAGTGATAGACATCACTCCTACTCCTTGGGTTTTGGTGCTTGGGTACGTTGCTACGTTGCTTATTTAGGCTGCGTCTGGGGCGTTTAGAAATTATGACCAGGGCTCCAGAGTCCTTTGCCCTTGCAGCGTTTAGGGTTTTTTGGGGCTTGGGGTTTAGGGTCTCCTGCTCCCTGCTCCCCTACAACCCAAAACCCCGAAATCCGTACCCTCGCCGGACCACCAGACCGTAAACGCAAGGTCCGGATCGCCTCGGAGCTGAAACGAGCCAAAACCTGTCGGGTCTTGGCTCGTTCCAGCTCTGAGGCGATCCTTTGCATAAAAGGATCTATAAGGGTATCTTAGCGTTCCTTGCTTGAAAAGACCTATTAGAGCTACTATTATCTGAGGGTTCCTGGCTGAAGGGGATCAAAAGGGTTACTAGTGTGGTTACTAGTATCGTAAGGCTTCATGCTTAAAAGGACCTATGAGGGCTACTTTGTTCTCTAGTATCTTATGCCTCCTTGCTTAAACGGATCACAAGGGTTTGTTTCATCTTAGGGCTCCTGGTTAGGATCTACACAGCAAGGCAGCAACAACAACCTCCTCGCCATAGAGTCTGGTAGAGGAGGCTGCGGGTTTGCATGGGTATGAGAACGCAGAGGAAATCTTTACCCATCCCTGATACAACAGCCTTTTGAAACCAACACAAAACTCATCGGATCCATGGGAACATCCTTATGAAACCGTTGTCAAGCCCATTGAAACCTGCCATGTGTCCCCTTGAAAAACTGCAGAGCACCAGGTCTTGATTGCTTACAACAATCCAGCGGTGGCCGAACTTGCAGCTGGACACTGTCTTTAAGGTTTTCGTTATGGGGTCTAAGGGTTGCAGGGTTGAGGTAAGTGTTTGGAGACACAGGTCTACGGGCTTTCGGGTTTGAAATTTGTGGTTTATAGCATCGGAATACTTCCGGCAACCTTCAACCGCTCAACTAACTAGAACCCAGATTCCTAACTCACCGTCTGGGAAAGCTTTTAAGTATTTGAATTTATGTATGTTGTGTGAAAGTCACCCCAGGCAAAGCAGCTCCCCCAAAAGTGCGAAATTCTGGATGGTCTGTTTGAGAGCGAGACGCAGACATGGTTTGCTCGAACAGGAGACGGAGATTTCGTGATCCTGGGCGTCATGCAAAAGCTCACTCAGGGCTCAGCTAATCCAACCCTAGCACCTATTTGGGGGATCTGTAGGGTTCCTCTTAAGAGTTCTATAAGATACCCTTAACGGGTTTAGGGCGTAGGGTTGAGGGTCTCAGACTTTGCAGGAGCAGAAAGGCCGCGATCTGGTTCCAAGCCTATTTGCACTGTAGACGTCACTGCGATGACGCCGGAGCACTGGCAACTGCTGGGCGGATTGGTGCCAAAGTGCTACCAGTAGTGCCTGAAGCGAAAAAGCCTACAGTTCCTGGGTTTCAGTTTATGGCACCATTCCCCAAATTTCCGAAACCGTTGAAACACGAAGTTCTACAAATCGTAAGCCCCTAAGGCCTTAACCGTCATTACCCAAAGCCCCAACGTCGAAAATCTTTGGCTCGATGGCATACCGGAGTAAGCCTATACTGTTTGGGGGTTCCTTCTTCTAATTATAGTATAATGGCCCCTAAAATCCTATTCTAAGTATCAAGGCCCCTACATCACACTCTTCGCCCGCTCCAAACCCTGCACCCTCAGCCCGAGAGTCGAAAGCATCCACCTCATCGCCTTGACACCCCGGGATCCAATGAGCCACCCGAAACCCCAAACCGTGACTCTAAACCGTCTAAGGCGCCTTATTACCGACGCTATTTAGGGGGGTTCCGTATTGTAATTATGGGTATGATGGGCCCCAACAAGCTTAGACTCTAAACCGTCCATCCCCTAAGCCGTAACGCGCAAAAGCCCCGAGCTCCCAATCTCGGCCCTGAACCCCAGGGACCCAACACTAAGGGACCCAAAAAGGACATAAGCGCAAGCATTTTATAGGGATATCCCTACCTTATTGGTCTTCACTATAAGGGGGTTTATATGGGATATCCTATCCTTATCTTTGCTTATGTGCTTTTTGGGGGGCCTAAACACAGCGGGCGCTACACCTCACAAATCTTCCAACACCATGCCGAAGAATAGGGTGCTTTAAAGGGTATTGAAAGAGTTCCTTTAAGGGTCGATAACGGCTCTATAGACGGGCCTTCATAATCAGAACAGGGTGCTGGGGTTATACTAAAACTAGAAGACGGGTGCTAAATCCTAAGGCCTACACTCCTCGACTCTCCACCCAAACATTGAAGCCCCTTGAGGTTTTTGAAAGGATCCTCCGGTGTTATTCGTTTTTTTACGAGGGACTCTAGGGTTGTATAGATTAGAAGGGGCCACCACCCTGTAATAGTGGTATAACAGGAATATAATAGGGGCCCCAATATAATCCTTATACTGGTAGCCACTATTACAGGGTGGGGGCAGCTTCTAATATATGGTTGCGCCCCGGCGGGCCCCCCCCTCCCCCCCCCCCCCCCCCCCCCCCCCCTCCCCCCCTCCCCCCCCTATGGTATCCTGTTTAGGTATTCTGATATATTTTCTTAAGTAATCGACGTGTATTCTCCCCGCCCCCCCCCCCCCCCCCTGTGGAACGGCATGGTTTGCCTTGTCTATCCCCCCCCCCCCCCCGTGGAACAGGATGGTTTGCCCTATTTTCCACCCCCCCCTGTGGAACAGGATACTTTTCCCTTTTGCTCTGAGACACACACACACACACGCACACACACACACACACACACACACACACATACACACACACACACACACACACGCACCATGTCTTTCTGAATGTATGGCCATTCTATCTCCCCCCTCCTGTGGAACAGGATGGTTTTCCCTTTTTGCTCTGACACACACACACACACCGCGTGTCTGTGTATGTATGTGGCATTCTCGGCACATGCTCTCCTGTAATGTTACGAAGTATTGCCTGGAACCCTTTTCTAAGGAATTTTACATAGCCTTGCTTGGAAATTATGGCACACGAGTAATCTTGCTGAGTGCTGCCTAGAACATGTTGCTTAGTGCTCGCAGGAAGCCCTGCTTGGAGGCCTTCGGAGTAGGAATAATGTTACTTTGTTTTGCCTCGAAACCCTATCCTTACTGTGGAAATTACGCGGGTGCGTAGCGGGCGGGCCAAGCGGGGTACAATGCGCTGTGCGGCGCGCCTGTAGCGGGAGTCCTCCAAGCCTCCAGGGTTCAGGCTCCTGTATTTGGGGGGGGGGGATACCATTGGGGGGTGAAACACTGAATGTTACACATCCAGGTGCCTGTCTGTTTCACGTATCACTTGCATGTATCCATGCCTGTTGCTCAAGGTTCTAGTGCAGTGGACTACAGCTGTGCGCCTGTAGCAAAAGAGACACCTGAGTGCCTGTGTTCCTGTACGCCTAGCGAGGGGATACACGTCCAGGTTACATCTCAACGTGGTAGCGGAGCTCCCGGGAAACGGGAAGCTTCACACTTGTGGAGGTACCCGTTCGGTACTCTCTACACAGGTGGAGGCAACCGGAATACCCGGTGTGCTTCACTCAGGTGAAGGTGACCGGAGTCTCTCCGGCACACTTCACTCAGGTGAAGATAACCGGAAGAGGTTTCTCCCGGGGCTCGATCCAAGAACAGCGCAATGGCTAGCCACTCTGCGACTATCTTTGAGCATGAAGGAGGAGATGATGACTACCTCCTCCACGGAAATGAATCTTTCGCGACTAATCATCGTCATCTCAATGAATTACACCGTCTTTCAGCTTTCCAGCAGGTGACCACAAAAGTACCTCCATCTTATGATGGTAGAAGCAGTTGGTTTGCCTATGAAGATGCGATCGATGACTGGTGTGACATTACTGAGCTAGACAATGATAAGCGTGGACCAGCTTTGAGAAATCGGCTAGAAGGTGAAGCAGCAATCCACAAGAGACTTCTCGACAGAGATCGCCTGAAGGACCCGAACAACGGAGTGAAGTACTTCAAGAGTTTCCTGCGGCCGCTTTTCGTGAAGGGAGCAGCGAATGTTTTTCTCTATCGCTTCCAGCAGTTCATGAACATGCACCGTGGGAACGGAGACATGCTTCGTTGGATTACCAGGTTTCAACTCTCTGTTCAGAGAATGCAAGAAGCGTGGAACGATACCTATCTGCCGATCGAGGACCCGAACAATGCAGAGGTCAGAGCCTTCATAGTAGGACTTCCTCCAGAAGAACAAGAAAACCTTACGCCAGCTCAGGCAATGGAGAGAGCCAACGAACGGCTTAGAGAGCAGCATGCTCGGACCATTCCGATCACGCCCAACCTGGTCGCTTTGATCTTTGTGTCTCTGTCTGATCTGACACAGGATCAGCGTCAGGTGTTGACATCACTGATGGCGCATCGGAACCGAGTCCTGGCTGACTACAACACGGCCGAGCTTCGCGAAGTCTACCTGGAGATCTTCTGTACGACCAAGACTACCGTCGACAATCCACTCCTCGCTCCTTCCGGCCACGGTGGCCGCAAGACCTTCCTTGTGATCGATGAAGGATATTTGAACGATCATGAAGGCTACTGGGTCGAGGACGAGGAAGATGGCACCGAAGGTTTCCTCGAAGCGGATGAGGACGCCTTCTGGGTCTACGACGACGAGAACTATTCATGGTTCCAGCGGCGCTTCCAAGGCCGCAAGATGAGGCGCGGATTCAAGGGCCACCGTAAAGGCAAAGGAAAAGGTGGCAAAGGATCCAAAGGAAGGCGCTTCTTCAAAAGGAAGAAAGGCAGGTCACATCTTGCCGAAGAATCAGAAGCATGGCAAGCAGAAGGACAATGGCAAGATTACCAGTGGAGCGATCAGTCCTGGGATGACTGGTCCTGGTATGAGTCTGAGGAATCCTATGCAGCCAAAGGAAAAGGAAAGAAAGGAAAGAAGGGCAAAGGAAAGAGCAAGTTTGGCAAGGATGGAAAAGATGGAAAGTCCGGAAAAGACGGACAGAGCCAGCTTGCTGATGCTGCCCCGAGCGGCACCACAGCCGCCACAACCTTCTTCGTTGAACATCTCAACACTCCGAACTTTTCTTTCATGGCCACCGAAGAGAAGATCAATGAGATCGAGGAAGCCTTCATCTCTCAGCCCTTGACGCCGACCGCGATGGTGTTGGACTTGGGATGCACGAGAGCAATGGCTTCGAGAGTGGCCGCACAGGACCTCATGGAGTTCTGTGACAAGAACCAGAACTGTGGCATATGGTACACCATTGCTGAGACCACTTCTCAGTTCACCTTTGCCAATTCCGAGTCTACCAAATGCAACCAGAAGTTGGTCATTTGCATGTACGACCGGGACTTTGCAGTTCAATCCACAGAGTTCGACATTGTGGAACAAGGGCATGTTCCCATTCTCATGTCCTTACCTCAGATGCGCAATCTTCGTTTCCAGTTCGAGCTCCATCCGGAAAAGGCCTTACTCAGCAGCCCTGTGCTGGGAATCAAGGATGTGAGGCTGAAGGTTGCACCCAGCTCACACTTGGTACTTGATCTTCTTGAACTCAGTCAGCTGATGTGGAATGTGCGTTTCAGCAAGCATAAGAAGTCGAGCTTCCTCACCTACTTCTCCCACTACGAGTACGGCTTCCATCAGAAGACCGAGGGATGCTGTTCTCATGAACAGGTACCTGACAATCTCGTGTTGGCGACTGATGATGAATGGGTGATCAACGAAGCCGACATGGAAATGATTCGCATCCACAAGAAGATGAGAAGAGTCAAGTACGAACCCAAGGCGGGTTTTGTGCCAACTCCGTTGGAGTATCTGGACACCAAGCGCAAGACGATCATGGAGTTCTCCAAGGGAAAGAGCGTTACTCAAGAAGATGACTGGCGTTCTTCTGAGCTTTCTTCAACAAGAACTACTGACTCTTGGAAAGGCAAGACCATTTTCAAGATTCTGCCTGGTGGCATCGAGAGTAGAACCTCGGTGCCAGCCAAGTCCAAGGATCCAACCCGTGGAAAGGTAGGATCTCCAGAGGACATGGTTAGCGCAGGTAAGCCTGAAGACAGCTCGAAGAACACAGGAGCATCCGGAAGCTTTCCTCAGGGAAAGGCACCGGCAAAGAGAAGGATTCGAGCCAAGGGAAGCTTTCCACAGGGAAAGGCACCCGAGGAACCGGCTCCTCCTCCTCTTGCTCCTGAGGATGATCCGGATCTTCAAGAGTACGAACCTTCCGAACCGGGGGATGCAGATTTGCTTCCTCCGAGTCCTCCGAAGGCCCCAGAGCCACAGTCGCTAGAACCTAGGAGGATCGCGCTTCCGTTGCCAGGCCACGAGGTCTCAAGGGCTTCTCCGCAGTATCAGCGCATGTTGGAAAAGCTGAACAATGATGTTGAGCTTTACAAGTT